TTATTCCTTCAATAATTTCTCAATTTCAGGTGCAAGGTCTTCAGGCTTCTTAGTACTTGCATACCTGTCAACAACATCACCCTTTTTATTGATGATAAACTTCTCGAAATTCCACTTAATTCTGGCCAAACCTAACAAACCACTCTTTTTAGATTTCAAAAATTTATAAACTTCATCCTCATCAGAACCGTTTACGTCAATCTTCTTCATAATAGGAAAGGTAACACCGTAGTTCAATTGACAAAATTGTTGAATCTCTTCATCAGAACCAGGCTCCTGCTTTAAGAATTGATTACATGGAAAACCCAAAATCACCAATCCTTGTTCCCCATACTTCTTGTACAAATCTTCTAATGCACTGTACTGTGGAGTGAAACCACATTTACTGGCAACATTGACAATAATAACAACCTTTCCCTTCAACTGCTCAAAAGAATAAGCTTCACCTTTCTTGTCCAATGGACTCAATTCGTAAAACGACTTAGTCATACCTCAGCTTTAAAGACCACAGATGAAGGCAGTAAATAAAAAGGGATTTAAATTGAGGTGAGAAGATCTCCTTTAAATAAAGGATGCATATATATGCAGTTTGTGAAGTCCGGAGATAGTGGTCACTCTGCCTCGGTACATTGCGGAAATAATACTTTGAGCCCTGGAGATGCTCAACTTTCTCTAGATTATGACAGCGTCATCAGATATACACACAGAGGCTATGCACTGATTGAATACATTGAATAAAAAGATCGCTGGACAACTTCAAGTTAAGTTTTTGATGGTATTTGAGCTTGATGATGTAGTCAGTCGATGGATCTGGACTTAGGTTGATTAATCATGAAATTTGTGTGCACAACTCCATTTCTAACAAAGCCACCTTGCTTACGACAATAATAAGTGTCTAGATTGTCGATGGACGCCAAATAATAATCATGATACAATATTTTTTACTTTAATGTGCAGGTGAAGACATTTAATACAATTGTTAGTATTAACTTATATGTATGTGTAATGGTTGGTATTCAATACTTTGGTCAAAGCGTGTAAAGTAGAAATTGCTTAATTAGTAATATGAACCAATTGAGTTTGAGATATCCATTTAGAGGAGATTGTGTTCCTTTCTGATCGGGATTTGACAGCACTGTTATGCTCCTTGCCCCAACAACTTTTTGTATGTCGTTTGTGATGGTACGAGGAAGTGAGTGGTAGAATCTTGACACTACCTCTCCATTTCTGTAAATTATAAAAATTTAAAAAGTTCCACTTTACCCGAGTTATACCTAAAACTCCACTTTACTTCAGCTTGAGATAGTCGTAGACCGGATATGCACTCAGTCCGCTCACCTATGTAAGACCTTGAATTTATCTTCGTATGTTGCCTTACAAAATTCCTGAATTTCTTTATTGGAGTCTGCGTTTTGCACGAGAAATTGTTTGTAGGGAAAACCTAAAGTCATCAACCCCTGATCCGCAAACTCACGGTTTAACTCTTCAAGTTCCGTTTATTTGTGAGGCGCATATCGACACTTACTGGCAACATTAGCGATGATGACAACTTTTCCCTTCAATTTCTCAAATGGTCATTGCCATCTTTGTCAAGTGGTGACAACTCGTAGTAAGAAGACTTCACTTGATATCTTCCAAGTATTGTTGAAAACGGCAAGACTTTTGAAGTGGAACTTAGTAAACTAGAAAGCATTCGAGATAATTAACTTACATTTATACTCCTGAAATTCATTGGAACAGATGGACCAAACATCCGCAAACTTTGCATGTAAAGCACGTAGTCCACGGACGCTATTCAAACTCCGACTACAACATGAAAGGGCCCAAGCTGATAGAATGAACCATTGGTGACTCCTCATGATAACTACCTACCCATGACTGACATCTGACGTGCACAAGGATCAACCATTAGGTTATTGTTCCAACTCATTTATGTACAACACTGTGTATCATAGCGCAATTCTTTAGGACTTCCATCGCTGTTACTAAGGCTATTAACTTTTAGGTGCTATCAACCATTGTTGGTTGGAATCATTCTAGATGTCACTAATTCAAACGTATATCTTTTGCTCCAAATTTTATCAACCTGGGCGAAGATCTACAGCGTACGAAGGTATCACTGGTTTGAATAAGTTGTTACCAGTTCTCTGCTTAATACTAAAAATAGCACTTTACATTCATTTTGAGTAAGCAGATTATGAGAGGGCAAAAAAAAACATAGTAAACCATGCATATGTGTTTAGGGTGAATGGGAAATTGCTTCTTCATAGCTGACTTAATTTTCAAGACGGTTACCCTTGTAATTATTCCAGCCGATTACCTTTTTGGGACGAAATTGAATACCCACATAAAACCAACGCCGCATTATTATGCGTAGCCCTACTTCTCTGAAGTCAATGCTCAACCTACCTTTGCGCACTCGTCACCAGCTTTAAAGGAGAACTTGCATATACTCTTTGGCACTAACTCAAACGAAAATTGAGATATACATTTCAATTCAACGAATAGAGCATCAGTTACTTAAAAATTATGGATATCTTGAGAGATTATAAGAAGCGCTTGATTCATCTGCAGAATTAAAATGCATTTCGGCGAGAATTTTAACTTTGTAAATCATAAATTTTCTTTATGAAAGTTATACTAATTATCCAGAACAAAGAGTTTGGGCGTAAAGATGGAAAACCTAGTATGTGCACTGGAATAATATAAACGGGATTGAGACATATGACTTCAAGTTTTACGATACTACAATGAAACTCTTTCAGAATCATAAACGTTCATCTTAGTTCAAATAAATATTTCAGTCATGAAAAAGATCCGCAAAATATAAGCATCAATGGGTGAAGATCAAGTAAGCAAAGCATTGGCTTTCTTGGGATCCAACAGCAGGCGATAAACTATTCTGTTACTGACGATGTGCCACATTTGACCTCATCACAAGAAGTAATGTTCTCCGATGACACCGACAGATGCAATAACAAACCCGATACCGGAGATAAGTGAGCCAATATAATAACTATCTTTTAATTGACCTAAGGTGAGAGCCAATTCCTTTCCTGATAACACAAGTCTAATTTCATCGTCAACAGATTCTTGTTCCTCTACATTAGAAACCTTAGGTGTGGAAACAGATTCATCTTCACTTGAGTCTTCCCCAGGGGTGTCCTGTTCTCCAGCTTCATAATCATCTAAGGATTTCACAGAAGCTGTGGCACTCGTAACATCGAAGGCATCACTAATATGAATATATGACTTTCCCAAATCATCTTCAGAAACTTTAGCCTTAAGCTCGTTACCAGATGGTGTTGATGGGGTAGATTGTGCTTCATTTGCAGCTGGAGCTTCCTTGACCTTCAGCACGGATTCATTGCTATTTTTCCTCTTGACAACATCAGTAACAACTTGTTTGACCTTCTCCTCATATCGAGTACCATTGCCAAAATAGTAAACACCAACAAAGGTCAATGGACTGACAAGTGAAGCATAGATTAAGTATGGGTGTTGAGCATACAGTGGGGAGTAGAGATATGCCAATGAAAACAAGATACTACTTGCTCCTCCTAAAAGACCCAATGAAATACGGACACCAGGGACAAACAGCCTCAAAGAGATACATGAGCTTTTCTTTGTAGAAGTTTCAACGCCACTGACCGAAATCTCCTTAATCAAACGTGGGATCAGGTCATAGACAGTAAACACTAAGCTTGAGGTTAACAAGCCCAACAGAGTGACCCCTAAGACCTTTATGGTAGTTACACACGTACCAGGCATTTTTAAATATACTAGTAGCTATAGCTGAATAATCAATCCTAAATCTGGATACCCTGAGAGTCAGGTTAAAGTTAGAAGGAGTCTCATTATTGTTTAAATATGACTTCAATTTTTGCCTTCCTCCTTAAAATACAAAATCCCAAATCCTGCATACATCGCCGTTACGTACCCCATATAAAATAGTCTATACAAACCTTGCCACTTGCAGGCAATATATGGAGGGCACCAGATTTATTGTCATAGAAGCAGAAGCAATTGATTTCGTTCTATGGTTATCAAGGCATACATTCTATTTTATTGTAGAAATGATAGTACAATGTAGTGTATTAGACATCGAAGTAGATCTTGCGTTTTTGGCACGCCACGGAGTTCCATACATATGTTGGAAAGTACCCTATAGTGGGACAAGGTGATTCACTTGGGAGGTTCTATCCCGAGCCATTCTGGCAATTGTAGCGGATTAATGTGAACTGTGTTTATGTCAAAGTTTTCTATCAACAACTCGACCATTATACGTCCACCTCGAGCGCCAGTGAAACGTCGGTATTCTTCACTTACTGATGCTAAGTTCCATCTCTGTAACCGTCTCAAACACCCCATGACCGTGCCTGTGCGATGACGACCCATACCACAACACACAAGTAATGGATAATTGTCTTTGTTGACAATTAATTCCAATGCTTCCCTTATGCTGCTGTCATTCAATGAATCCCATGGATTCAACAGATGATATGACATATCATTGACAACCTGATTGAGAATTCCACAGAACTCAATAACTATACCATTATCATGACAAAAATCTATAAATTCATCCGATGGTTCTTCATTGGCAAGCCATACTATGGTTCGAAGGTTTAATTCTAATAAGAATGAGTGATTGATGATGGAAGGTTGCCCAGATCTATACAATTGGCGTTCCACCGGACAAAAATTAAGTGGGGGTATAATACGAAGTTTTGGAGGTTGTGTAACTTTCACCACAGGATTCAATTCTTTTCCATTTGTAGCAGATAATGTAGTTGATGCCATGATTGAATGTGACAACCGTTTATTGCCTTACCAGTCAGTCAACAAAATATAGTCCCAGATAAAGTTGGCAATAAACTTCTATAATTTTTGAAAAACAAACAATAGAAGCTTGAGTGCCTTGTCAACAATGCTAAGCTTAACTTGACTATTCATTTGTGGATTGACTTTTGGCCATTTTCTACTGTTTACTGATTCAGTAGTGTGCCACATCAAAAAAATCCTCACCGCCTCAAAAGCGTCATAAAGTGAACACGAGAACACACTCATGGAAAACTCAAAGTTGAAAACCATAAACGTATTGAAATAGAGAAACCTCAAAGCATTCAATTAAAGATATAGGGGCAATATGGCTAAGGAGAAGGTACCAACAGTTATGAAGGAGAAGACTGGTGCAGCATACAATCCGTTGACAGATGTCACAAGCGCCTTAAAAATAACTTTCAATGACTACTTCCACACTCTCACACCTCGTTTAAAGTTGATTGACACTTTCCTTGCCTTCTTGGTAGCATTAGGGATTTTACAGTTTGTATATGTGGTGTTGATTGGTAACTTTCCTTTCAATGCCTTCTTGGGAGGTTTCTGTTCTTGTGTAGGACAGTTTGTTTTAACTGTGAGTTTGCGTTTGCACTTGAAAGAATCGATGCTTGAAGAAAACAATGAATCAGACACTCCTGATTCAAAAAAGAGCAAAAGCGATGAAGATAATACAATTGGATTGGCCAATGTGGGTGTTGAGAGAACATTTGCGGACTTCTTATTTGCCAGTTTGATATTGCATTTCATCGTCTACCATTTTATAAATTAGTGATATATATTCAAACAAAGTATACATACAGTTCATTACAAGTTGGTTATAAAAGTAAATGTTGATTTCACTAAGGTAACAAGAAGTACACAATGTATAAAATTAAAGTGAAAAAAATTTGAAGAGTGATTAGAATAGGAAATGGAGCATTATATGTGTATATAATTCGTTAAATAGTTGCATAGTGTTTAAATCTTTAAGATGAAGAAGGGCAAAAGAATAACGTTTCGCTTCACCACTGAGGTTGAGAGTATAATCGAAAGACTTTAAACAATTACACAACATCCACCCTTATCCTTTGAAACTTGAGCGCCTGAGCTGTATTGATTTGATCTTCCTCCAGAACCAGCTGTAGTTGATGCCTTTTGTGTGTCATTATTTTGAGAACCTTGTTGGCGAGCCCCAGAGGGTTGCTGATTGTTGTATGACGCGTTGTTTGTTTCTTCAACGGATTCCTTAGTGTCGGCAGACTCTTTAATTGATTGAGTCAATGTATTGGGCTTGTTAACGTCATTTTGTATCGAATGTGCAGAATTACCAGGAACAACACCACCATTAAGTTGAGTGCCATTATTTTGAGGATCTAGTACTTCTTGTTCTGCCAAAGCAAAATTTTTGATGGTTCTTACCAAACCGTAAAATGATTCTTCAACATTAATGTTCTGCTTGGCTGATGTTTCTAAGAATATGGCACCAAACAGTTTGGCCAATGCCAACCCTTCATCGTAACTAACTTGTCTCTCACTTTCCAAATCGCACTTGTTACCAACAACGACAACTGGAACATGGTCACTATCTTTTACTCTTTGGATTTGAACATAAAAACTTTGCAATTCTTCTAACGAATTTCTGGAGTTGATTGAATATACCATTAAGAAACCTTGGCCAGTTCTCATGTATTGTTCTCGCATGGCACTATACTCTTCTTGACCAGCAGTATCTAATACATCCAACTTGACTTGTTCCTTATCAATAACACAATTCTTTGTATATGAGTCTTCAATTGTTGGATCATATTCGTCAACGAAATGGGATTGGAAGAATTGGATAGTCAATGCGGATTTACCGACACCACCACCTCCAACAACGACAAGCTTATAATCACTAACCATGATTGAATCTTATATTATGAAAAAAATGGGATGAGGGGACGAGGTAACGGTACAAAGGTAATATGAATAGGTTAAATATAAAAAATGAACGAAGATGCCAATAGATTGATCGCAACGAAATATACACCGTTCGTGGTTTCACTCTTTATCAACAAAATGTTAAATAGAATGAGAGCAATCGTGAAAAATTAAATGGGCAAATTTTTTTCCAATAGTGCTCGGTGTGTGATTTTCTGCTTTTTATAAGCATTTTTTCGACCCTCATTCTCTGAACAAAACATTGAATTTTTCACTTGCAACTTGATGCAAAGCGCATACGTATGCCTTCCTTGGATACAAGAAGGGAATACCTTGGTCAGACCAAAAATAGGGTAGACAAAGCGGAATTCAAGTAAAATACCAGGCCGGGCTAAGTGTAAGTGACGTATTAGTTATGTTGTATCTTTTATCATATCCATTACTTTGTTTCTGTCTGTTGGTGCCAATAATTAGTTATTCAATAGGCTTGTTCATCGTACAAGTGGAATTAGCAAGCTTTTTGACGCATAATGGGTTTGCTCCAATTTTTGTCCTTTTTGGTCTTGTGTTCCTTTTCTTGTTTATTGCCCATTGGCTTTGAGGCTTATCTGCCCTCAACTGCCTTTATCTGAGCCATCTACCAACCTTCAGGTGATATTTGAGCTGCCATCCATCTACTGGTTGTGTCCACGATCGGATTACTTGTTTTTTCGCTTGTTTACTTGTTATATACTAAAGCTATATATCTCTACATCTATAGTAACGACAGGATACCACTATTAAAGCTAAATCTTGTCTCTAAAAGATTGGCTTAAAATGCCATCGGCCCTGGAGGCACTTTTCTACTAGTTTTATTGTAGTGGAATTGTAATAAAGCTACAACCACTTATAGGTGTAGTCCGGCGTTGTTTATTACTAATAGGGAAACATGTGTTAATCATTGCAGACATGTGGGCTTCAGTATTGATTATATTATGATTTGAAAGATCGAAAATAAATAAACTGAAATCCGCTTGAGTTTAAAGAAACGGAGACATTCGCTTGTCCAAGCGATCGATTCGATGGTCATTTGTTCAGGAACGCAAATAGAACGAGACCTACATTCTCGTAGCAGCAAAATCTGAGGAAACCAATCAGGGAATTAGATATACTTGGATTGAAAAGGATCTCGATCGACACATCGTCAACATGTCCATCCACTATCCCTTTGTTATGTTATTGACCGTAACAAGTAGTTACTCCCCAGCCTTTTTGTTTTTCTATAGAGCCGAATTTTAGATCCTACCAAACAAAAGCCCCGTGCAGAAAACGAATTGTAACTAAAAAAATAAAAGACTCCTTCCTTAAAACCACGGTGCTACCACGAAAACAATACAACACAAGTATACCTTTTACCCCAATATGACAATTCGCAAAATTCAAGACGTACGATCTCACCACAAATTCACCCATTTTCGATTGGGACCCACATTCCCACTGTGAGGAGATGCCCTCATGAAATTAGCACCAATTCCAATCGTAGAGCAATTATTATTCATAAAAACTCCGCCCTGGTACGCCTTGCCTACATTGTACGTAAATATCATCGAGAAGTCCTCAAATAGGAACCCACAAGGTACAACTTTGCCAAAGTCGCTTCATTATTAGAGTGGTCTACATATTCTTGACTAAGATATAGAGGAGAGTGACGACCGCACTAAACCTTCTTGGCCTTCTTCATCTTGGCCAAACAATCATCACAATACCATTTGCCTTTCGGTGGGTTTTTAAAGCCAATACATGGCAAGTGAAACCATTCTCGCTTACAATCTTCTCCATCGCACCCAACCATCTCACCAAAAGAAACTTGGTTACAATAACAATAGGTAGGCTCATTGGAATTAGCTCCTTCCTTTACAACTTCAATCTTGGGAGGTCCATAGGTGTAATTCAGTCCTGTATTATTACCACTGACATTGATATTATTGCTATTGTTATTACCTGTTGATCCATTCCCAGAGTCATCGTCATCCTTTCTCTTTCTCTTTTTGGCTCCCAATGTATTTGAAGTTGATGCCGATGAACCAATTGGTGTGGTAGACCTGCCATTCTTGCCTTCGGCAACTGAGAAACTGTCATCCTTTCTAGAACGTTTCTTCGTAGACTTTTCTTCTTTTGCATTAACTCCGCCAGCCCCATTGACACCATTTGAATTTGAATTACCGCTGTTCCCTTGGGTCTTCTTCTTCCGTCCACTAGGTGTCGCTTCTTCATCACCTCCAGCAGGTAATGACTCTTCACGGGATGCCTTCTTTGCAGCTAAAGCTTCTCTACGACTTTCACTTCTCTGGGAAGGGACACTAGAATCTCCATTTCCTCCAACTCCAGAACCGCTACCAGCAGCATTAAGTCCACTGTTGTCCATAATCATCGCTGGATGATTTAAGGGACCTATTCTTATCAGCTCGGGAATTTCATTATTCTGAATAATCAACTTGTAATCATTGTTTATCCGATTTAAATGCTTCTGCATTAAGTCTGTAGCCACAAGTGTAACATGCATCTTCTCTTCCAAACATGGGATAATCTCATTCACTTTCTCCCGAATGCTGCTCAAGCGTTTCAACTTGGTACCTGTGGTCATCGCTGGTGATATCTTATGTCCATCCAAATCACCATTTTCAAAAGAAATAGGGTTCTCATGCAATCTATCTATAAACGACTTGATTTCTCCATTAATCTGAGGAACCGTATTTATACATTTGGCATCAATCTCCTTCAATAATGTGAAATATTTAATTAAATCCAATGGTAATGCTTCAAAAGCATCAGCAATATCGTTTAGTCCTGGTAAGAGGTCATTGATGTTATTAGCATTTTTAGCTCGTGCCTTATACTTTTGAAATGTATTGGCGCTTCTAGTCTTCATTATATTATATCCTGTTTTAAAGTGGTTTTGTGGGAAAGGATTTCATTAACCTAAAGAATGCCCTAGTCATTAATCTTCATTTCAACATCTATTCAGCAATCGCGCTACCACAAATAGTTCATGTCTCAAGTTTACGTAAGAGCTAACTATTGATTAATATAAGTTGTAAACTGTAAACCAATAACGTAAAAATTCTCTAAAATTGGCATTGACTACTTCTGTATTCTCTTTCTGTAGTAATTACTATGTTTCATCTTGGCATAAAGGCAGGAAAGACAATAGTATAGTTCTTATCAATTAATTTAGCCCTTAATTCATTTTTTTCATTATGACTTCTGCGAGTTATCAAAAATATGCCAAAACGATTTGGATAAGTACAGAAACTTCATACTAAATGAAGTCATTGTTACATTTCCTGAGTGGCTATCCTAAATCTATTTCTAAGAAGAGAGATTCTTTGTCAAGAAACTCGTTGACGTCAATTCGAAATAAATTTTAGTAGTTTAAAGAGTTAAAAATAGAGATGCTAAGGAACATGGCTTATCTGTAACAGATGAATACATTGTATTAATGATTCAGGAGAAAAATTTCCCTTTATTGGATATTAGTTTTTATGCGTTATCTAAGTCTTCTCAAACCATATGATTAAAACATCTAAAGGAGAATCTCAAAAAACATCATCTAAATTATATTCAAAGAGATCCTCTTTTATATAATGGAATAGAAAAGGATTGAAAGCACTAAAAATTATTGTGGTAATCAATCATTTGCTTTACATTCATACTATTTCTCAATTCGATGAGCCATAAGTGAACTCCTTCATTTTAGTAATACTACCAAAAAGAAGCAGTAATTTATATCACCTAAAAGTCTAGCTCCATTACTTAAATAGCTGCTTAACGGGAAGTAACCGAAAACTGGATAAAACATTTGATAATATGCATCTCAGTTTTAAAGTAAATTGAATGATGAAGGTGCTTTTTGTGGTCAACTCCATGGGATCTTTCTTTGCAACGTTAACTGGGTGCAAATTGTTACTCCAAGCTTCCAGAGACGCGATACTAATGGGAACAAAATTTCATTTCTAAATGTATGTACACTCCGATTTAAGCAGGTGGTTGATAGAGGTAATTTTGGCTTCTAAAGATCCATGGTTTCTTCCATCAAAGCCATTGGGCATTTGTGTGGAAAGAGTAATTTATCCACTGACAACATTGCCGCATTACACTGTGAGATTCGACAATTAGTTCTCATTCGAAGAAATCGCACACTTTAATGGCTACCACCCAACGAAGCCACATTTTCCAATATGACAGCGGTCGAAAGTACGTACGAAAATTGAGCAAGTAATGGGAAATCCTTCAAAAACAGGAGCAAGCAATAGATTCGTTAGCAACCACAATGCAGCGATTCTCACGTACGTCAGCAGATGAGATATTTAGATTTCGATGTTTAGAGGAGGTGGAAATATGTTAATTTAATCTACATGGGACTACACCGAGTGAATTCATTGCAGCATGCGTATCTTATAATGGCACTCACATTAGTAATTAGGATGCAATTTGACTATTACATGTCCCCGCGATCAGGAATGTACATGTCTAATGGGGGTATTGCTCTGTATCACGTGACATCTTCCAATCTGTGATTATCTTGCAATATATATATATCCGATGCAATCCGTTGCGCACATGTGTAGGTATTTTGCCCCCTCCCCCTCCCGCTGTGCCCCCACATTTTGGACCCTCTGGCATCAGGCTGTTTCATTACACAAACACTATAACCAGAATTTGATTCATTTCATTTCATAAAACTTTCGACTTTATTCACCTATAAGGAGCTAAGAGTACCTCACTTTACTGATTTATTATCATCCATTTATGGCATTGAGGGTCAGAAGGAAGCTAGCCCTGTTTTATTTCGTTTGTTAGGAAAACCGAGCATCAGTTCAAGATCAATTCGTTCTCAAGGATTGGCTAATGAATTGTGGCAGTTCAATATACGAATGACGTTAATACCAAAACTCTCAATACTTTAAAGGATTAACAGTGCCATATTTAGTCGACTTTTACTCTTTTCTTCTTAGGTTCTTCTGCTTCTAGATTCTTTTAGAGATAAGAGTGCATACAGATTACATAAGCCTACTACCACAAAACCTTCGATTGCAACACGGCCAACCGCTTTGGAGACCTGCAAAACTGTGGCGTTTACATTACCACCTTACTTAAACCACTCCGGGCTCTACAAGATCAAGATTTCTGTCCTTTCTAGCTTGGTTTGAGATTTACTGACAACGGTGTCCTTCTGTACGTGGTACCATCTGATTTCTTACTAGCTGCTAGGGATCGCACACTCTTTCGCCAGGAGTAGTGCAACAATTGTCTCAATACCTCAATGACATACGAGATGGATCAACATTTACATCGACTGCAACAACATCAACATCAACAACTTCAACGTCAGAAACAACTGAAATTGAGTCTGAGGGTCCTGTCCTCAGATGACCAAAAGAAGCTATCTCAAGACTCTGGGAAACGTAATGCTGTGCACCTCTCAAACTTACTCCATCCTGAGTTTGGTGGAGACTCCAACACCAGAAATGCTTTATTTAATAACACCAATTCAATTGCTACACCACAGAGTGTACATCCACAACTGCAACAACTGCAACAACAACTGCAACAACAACTGCAACAACAACTGCAACAACAACTGCAACAACAACTGCAACAAACACATATACAACAAGCGCAACAACTGCCTCTGCAGCAACAACTGGCGTTATCACCATTTAATGTTGAACAGAATATGAGTTTCGCAAGAGGAGAATTCACATCAGGACGTTCGTTTTTGTCCAAGGGATTCTCTGAAGCTAGTAACGCTGCCCCCGGTGACCAAGGACAAGCTCAGCCAATTGAAAAATCAGCTTCGAATGTCACCGATGAAGATGAACGGTTCCTTCGATTGGCTCGTGAAGCACTTGTAGCTACAGCGCTGACAGGCAGAGTAATCGTGGATCCTACAATCCAAGATTTACTTCAACGACTACAGTATGCGAGTTCCCCGCATGGGAATCCCATAAAGCATTCTAGTGACATTAGGGCTAACGAATATGGTCAATTAATGATACAGGGTTTTTATCAATCATTCCCCAATTTATCGAATGATGTTTTCACAGGGAGTCCGTCGGCTTCACCAAACTCCCACTTTCAACTGCTGCTGCAAGACAGGCAATTTTACGAGAAGGATTCACATCAAAATCTAGAAGATACCAATACTTCATCAAACCATCCTTCTAATATGCATAATGATGGTTGGAACTTCTTGCTTGATGGATCCGAGCTGGTTGACAGGAATAGTTCGATTCACTCCCAAAGTCAGCAGCCGAATCAATCGCTAGAACGACGTGTCCACCAACTGAAAACCCAGCGACATCCTTATGAAGATGACGGTGGGATGGAACAGTACACAGGAGATGAAGAGGATGCAGACGAGGATTCTGAGGGATCAGCATCAATAGGAGGGAGTGGTAGTCCTAGCCGTACATTTATATGTCAAGATTGTCAAATGTCATTCAAGCGAAGTAGTGATTTAAAGAGACATGAGAAACAGCATTTAACCATTCCTCCAAATATATGTGAGCTTTGCGGTAAAGGGTTTGCTAGAAAAGATGCATTGAAGCGACACTTGGGAACATTGACGTGTAGACGGAATGCTGACAAGAAAGCATATGTCGAGAACTTGAAGTACGTTCAGAAGTAGCTAAGTGTCAGTGCACCAAATAATAATGTCACTGACGTAATAGAGAAGGGAACGCCAAAAAATAATCACGACAATATTAAAGAAAGCTTTAATGTTATACATAGAATTAGGTACTACATATTTACTACAGCCAAAGAATAGTATAAGATGCGCTTTTAGTTTCCTGTCACGTAATCTTGGTTATTGTTACTTTTTGCAGAACCTACCGTTTCTAGCGGAAAGACATCTGGTGAGGCGATATACAACAAGATCGTGTCTGTGCAATTTTCGGAGTTGTATGATTCGGAGATACCCTTTTGAGAGGATTCTTAACTTAAATCATAACAATTGTAGATCATTGATAAATGATTGCTTGAAGCTAGGAGATGCGACATGGCGAAGAGAGAAAATGAAGTGAAACAGATTTTGATGCAAAGCACTTTTGAAACTTTTAGTGCCAGCAGTCCTATTTGACTCTGACAACAGAAAATCTTATAAAGAAGTAGTATGCTAGTATGTTCCTTATAAGCATAACACAGGTCTATTGTTAGCGATCACACTTCTCTATAGGTATCTGGAGTGTGTAGAGCTGCGTAGTCCGAAGACCACAAAGAGAAGGGAAATGGCCCACTTTTCTGTGACTATATCCGGAATGCAGAGCGCCTCTTACTCCGATAATCCCCTCCACCACTCCAAGTGAACAAAAGGACAGTCAGGTGATCCTGAAGAACTTACAAATACTCGGAGTTGAGTCTTGGATTGAGTCATTTGAATACCGGAGTATCAATGACAGAATCAACGACTCAGAGTAGTAGTAATGTAAACACAAAATAGTAGAGCTATATACTGAAGACAAGTCGTAGCCAGTAGTTCAGTACCATTGCATTCATTCAAAACCTTTGTCTTTACTCCCTTGCCAAATGAATATAACGATCTTAAAATCACACAATAATTCCAATTAGGCCCTCGGACATCATTTTGTACTCTGTCGTACCATCGGATTTCGGCAGGGACGCATCTTTCGATAGGCCGGCTGAACCTTGGCGGGGCACATGGATCGTGAACGTTAGGAGACAGCTGGAGTGTGTCTAGCAATAGTCCGAAATTGAGTTTGTATGTTTTCCCATTCAATGCATCATGTAGGAGCATTTTATCCGCAGAGGTTAAACTTGTTTTGAAAGAACTTTGAGTATAAATAGTTTCCGATTTTCTCCTAAGTGGGTTTAAGCACAACTGCTTTTAATTTTACAGACAGCAAACTAATTAATACCTTTTAGTATCGTTCACAAATCGGGTAACACTGCTTGGACAAAATCATACCAGAAATTTTTATCAGTAGGTCATTCTGTTTTTACAGCGATTTCTTGCTACCCTTGTTACCTCCTTTACAGCAACCTACATCAGGTACAACTGCTAATGCCCGAAACCCCTCAAATCATAGAGCCTGCGGCTATCAGCGAATCAACGAGTGTGAGCACCGTTCTGAGTGACTCGCTGTCTACTACAGTGCCCTCTAGCATCTTGTCCAACCAGAAGGCATCAGCACATCTCCGTTTAGAACCACAGGAGGCGTCTACCGTGTCACTATCATCCTTAGCCGCTACATCCATGAACATGACCCCTTCACATATCAATGAAACTCATTTATCACCAGAACATCCATTCAAGATCGCCGTTATTGGTCTGGGCAATTGGGGTTCTACTATTGCCAAAGTCCTCGCAGAGAATGCTGCACTTTATCCCAAGCTTTTCGTGGAACAAGTTGACATGTGGGTGTTTGAGGAAATCGTTGATGGCGAACCCTTATCAGAAATCATCAATCGTGAACATGAAAATGTTAAGTACTTGCCTGGCGTAAAGCTTCCTGACAACTTGGTTGCAAAGCCCGACTTGCTTGATGTTGCTGGTGATGCTGATTTATTGGTTTTCAACTTGCCTCATCAGTTCTTGCTGAGGATTTGTTCTCAATTGTTGGGAAGAATCAAGCCATATGCTAGAGGTATTTCGTGTTTGAAAGGCTTGGACGTTTCAAAGACTGGCTGTAAGCTTCTTTCCACTGCCATTGAAGAAAATTTGCACATCACCTGTGGTGCACTTCTGGGTGCCAATTTGGCTCTGGAGGTTGCCGAAGGAAAATGGTCGGAAACAACCATTGCATATAAGATTCCCAATGACTTTAGAGGTCCTGGTAAAGATATCGACAAGTACGTGTTGAAAGCTGCTTTCCATAGACCCTATTTCCATGTTAACATTGTTCATGATTTAGCAGGTGTTTCAGTTGCTGGGGCATTGAAGAACGTGGTTGCTCTTGCAGTTGGCTTTGTTGAAGGTTTGGGTTGGGGTGAAAACTCCAAGGCTGCTATCATGAGAATTGGTCTTATGGAAACTATTAAATTTTCGCATGTTTATTTCCCCAAATCTAAAAATGCAACTTTCACAGAAGAATCTGCTGGTGTGGCCGATTTAATTACCACCTGTAACGCAGGAAGAAACCACAAGGTTGGGAAATACATGGCAGAAAACAAGATCTCTGCAAAGGAGGCGGAAAGCATCCTTTTAAACGGCCAATCATCTCAAGGCATCATCACCACGGAAGAAGTTCACGAATTGCTTGAAAACACTGGTCATATGGGTGAATTCCCTTTATTTGAAGCAGTTTATCAGATTATTTTTGGTACTGAAGCAATTGAGAACTTACCAGCATTATTGGACAAGGGTATAGACTTTTAAAAGCATTGCATTGTATTCATATTGATGATGATAATAACCTTGTTTATAATTCCATGAAATGTATTATTTTTTGTTGACTTATTTAAGCATTTCCTAAACTTAATTTATAGAATATTAAAGCTAATAAACGTATTTCTAGTAGTCATAGTTATAAAAATAATGTATGCCTAATCATCGGTTTTGACCCTTTTCCTTTGATTGTTCTCACTGGATTCATGCTTCCTCTTATCGTGCTTCTTTCTGTACTTGACCAAATACTTTTCCATAAATAACTTCACAGATTCCTTTATCTTTTTAACTTTGGAATCAACAAACTCACTGGGGGGAGTTTTCTCTGCGTCACGTTTCACTTCCTTTTGGGCCAATTGATGTACCAAATCTTTGGCACACTTTTTCATGTTTTCACGGCCAATTTCCGCTTCATACAGACGAAGTAAATTAGGTACATATTTGGCAAATAATGCCATCCATTGAGACTCTGTACTTGGTGTTCTATGACTCAGCGATTTATATTGCTTGTTCTTTATACCCCCATTGGAATTGGAACTCAAAGACTTTACAGAACTAGCCATACCCGCTTGAGTTCCTTTTTGACTCTGCTGAATTAACTCTTGTAAACGCTTCTCCTTTTCAAGCACTTCATTGTATAGCATCTCCTTTTCCTTTCTTAACTTATCTTCTTCCCGACGAGCTAATTCTTCTTCTTCGTGATGCTTGCTCCTAGGAGTACCACTTCCTTCTCTTCCTCCCCTTCCATTTATCTCCTTTGAAACAAACTTGGGCCCCTTGGGTAATTGAGGTTTTATAGCTGATACTGGCCTTTCCCATTTCGATAATCTTTTCTCCGTATGGAAATAATAAGGTTTCCCCGTATCTTTATCAATAGCCATTTGCCAACCATCCGGTAACGGAGTCCCATCAGCATCATTGTATGTACCAAATTCCAGAGATTCTTGTTTTTGTGAATTGTTATAATTCTGTCCATCCATGGAAGGTTGTTCTGGAGATCGTGTCCCTCTACCATAAATAGGGCTATGATTATATGCTTCATTTCCATCATACTTGGGGATCCTATATGCCATCAGCAACGTACTCCATTCATCAAGTAAACTTTGAGCCAATGTTTGAATCTCTTCGTTAGTTGAAGCAGCCTTCAATTTTCTTATCACATCTTCAATTTGTGAAGAACTGATTTTATTCTTTGTGACTTTTGGCCATTTCCCCAAAATCTTTAATATCTTAGTCAAGATTTCTTGAGAAAGTTCGGAATCAATGGTTCTATATTCTTCAATTAATTTTGAAAACGTCTTATAACCATGAAACCTTATAATTGCCAAATTGATGTTGTCATCATTGGTCAAAAATAATCTTTCTATAAGTTTAGAAGCTATTAACACATCTTGATTCTTCATCAAAGCTCCCATGACCTTAGAAACCTCAACTGGTTGCAGCAAAGAAAGCATGGGAATATTATTAACAAAATCTTCGTTGATCCCACTATCTTCATTAGTTGTTTTGAGCTTATGCTTATTTTCACGTACCCAAGCTCTTTCCATCTTGGTAGTAACACCCAAGGCTTCAGATACTCCTTCTGGTAATAACATTGCAGCATCTGTTTGAGTTTTCCCACCCATAAACTTTATACAGTTGGGTTCACCACAATAACAAGGTTGTTTTTGAGCACCATATCTATCCACATTATAGTCAAAAGTGATTTCCTCTCCAACGGCAATGCTTCTCTTAGCAAAGATCCCCATTCGTAACTTTTCCCCTACAACCCATTTATCCACAAAGGCATTAGGACTACAAGAATGGTTGACGAATCTTGCTAAGGAACCTTTTAAAGTGGCATCAATAAACGAATCTTTATTAAGCATCATGAAATAAAAATGCTTAAAGTTCTTTGTATCGTATTCTATCATTCGTTGTCTGAATGCCTTTTCATCAATAACTTCCCCAATATACTCGTAAATGAATTGTCCCTCTGATAATTCTTTATCAGCTCGCAAACCATACCCTTTCTTCTCAGTTTGAAATACTGTTACTGGAGCATATTGTTTCTTTTGAAACCGTTGATTGGAACAGTTCTTCCCACATGTTGATGCACAATGTTTATTGATACACTCCACACTGGTAACTCGGTTGATACAATCGCTGTCTTCACCACACGCAAGATTAATGCCCTGTTCACTGTCCCATTGCTCTACACAGTCACAAGACATGTACTCCAAAACTTGTCCACTACTACCTAAGTTCTTACTTCCGTATGTACATTCCGCAAGCTCTTCAAACTTAGATCGTGCTTCCTCGGTTTTCGACTCAGCATCCAAATATAACTGCACTTGTCGACTCTTAACATCCGTCATTATGCTTGGAATGTTTTTCGATGGCCTTTTCTAAGTACTAAATTCGTAAGCCTTTCTTTTGCTATGATGCCAAAATGAATGTCAAGCGTATGGTTGAAATAAAAAAAGTTTTAAAAGGATGGCGGCCAATAAGACACTGTATATAATTTGAAAACGCCTTAAGCAGATCTATATTACCCTGATAACAAGAATGAAAGTGGCTATAACACATAAGTTGACTTCAAAGTAGTTCATTGTATTTTTTTTTCAATCAATTTTCCATCAACAAAGTCGTGTATTGGTAAAGAAACTTTACATAGCACCTTTAGTACTACAGAAAGCCTTAAAAATAATTAACTAATTATCAATGAATAAATAAATAAATAAATAAATAAATAAATAAATAGGGTCATAAAAGGGTTGGGAGTATTGGTGACTTGTGTGCCTGACGTTGTGCTGCAATATACTACTGAAACAACTTTGTCATTAATTTCGACAACTGGTGATCGAACCCAGCAATGGTAGGTGAACAAATATTATCATCAGGTTGAGTGAACCCTTCATCATCTTCCTCCTCGGCAAAAGCTTCTGTTCTCCGGGCTAGCTTTGCTTGACTGGCACTCACCAAATGAGCTATTTCATCAAACACGGAATCAATAGCACTTATACGGTTCCGTTCACTCTGAGTTAAAGGTTTGCTTGAAGTATACGATGAATGCTTCTTCCTGCTAGGATTCAGTTTGAACGACGTGCTAGGTTTCTGAGGCGAAACTCCCAATTGTGTATACTGAGATTGTGTTCCATCATTAGATAAAGAAGTGTGGAACCCTTCACTATCAGATGTAGATGTTGGGTTATTAATTGTAGTGCCTGTCATTTCAAGAACCTTCAACTCACGAGCCCTCAAACTAACAAATATTGTACGTGATGTTACTGACTCAAATTGACAATGTGTTTGATAAAATAGAACATCGTTCTTCATGGCAATTAGAATCTGATTCTCCAATTTAGGACTCATGGGACACGATTGGATTGTAAATTCAGGACGGAATTCATCTGCAAATGCAACAACAGGAAGCAATGGTTTCTTTTTAATCAACAAAGATCCATCAAGTTCCTTGTTGGTATAAAGTGGAATCTCTAAAGCATTCAAGGTTTCATTTTTGGTCACTTCTAATTTTTTGCTATTCATAATTTCAGAGCATTTGCGTTTGATACAGTTGTTATTATGAGCAACAACATTTTTAACAGCAGAATCATCAATCAACGGTAAATATGCACTGTTATTGCTTCTTTTGAGAGTTAAGTTGTCTTTGATGGCAAGCACACCGGTACTATTATCATATATCCCTGGCATGTTTGTAGATGTCTTATTATACAATTCATACATGGATTGAGTTCTTGACAACTTGTTAGGAGTAGGGATCAGGTGTTGCTGGTGGTGTGACGATATTGGTTGGAATGATTGTATATCATCATAATGATCCACAATTGCAGGTGAGGGAGTCCGCAAAGAATGCACTGATGACCTTTTGGTTAAACTCCCAATAGTTGATGGTGGAAGACATTCACTGGCATCAAGCGAAGAATTATAATAGGTACTGCTACCATTAGTACTTCCTTGATTCATAAGAGAACTCAAATTCAGCTTATGTGAGTTGCTAACGCTTTGTCCCAGAGTCTGCTGACCAAAATAACAATTCATATTGTTGTAAACTGCATTTGGCGTGGCAACAGAGTTACCGCCACTGGTATTTTGCAGCGATTGGTTGGAATAGCTTGAAGGCCACTTCCATTTCTCCAAGAAACTACCTCCAAGTTTCGACAACGAGAATTGGGACGACAGAGAGCTCAAAGATGAATTCAAACTCGATGACAAATAAACAAACGAAGAAGATTTCAGCATAGAATTGTTGCGATGATAATTGTTCAGCAGTTGTTGAAGTTGAGGAGGATTATAGCTAATAGGGATTACCTGAGCTGTCGCAGTAGAGGCTTCTACGCTTGACGTCGCTGCACTGCTACTATTCTTATTTGAAGTCAGAATGTGTGGTGTCGACTTATAAGGGAGCTCCCATCCAATTTTGAAAGATTGGTCTGAAATTGCACGAGTACCTATTGGTGAATTGGAATCCCTTTTGCCAGATCTAATAGGAATCGGTTCAACTGTTGGGCTTTTGGATTTCGAATCAACAGTGGGATCCCGTACAGTCTCGACACTTGGAGAAGCTTCCAAAAAGCTAGATAGATCATCAGAACTTGTGTAAACAGATTTTTGGGTCAGTGGAGACGTCATGGACACCTTTTCTGCACTTGTATGTGATGCAGCAGATGTTGTAGGGAGAAGAGTCGTCATATTATGGTTGATATTCTCTGCAGAAGTCTTTCCATTCTTTGATAAAGAAGCGGGGTCTCCTCTGCTTCCATAGCTCAAAGGTTTTTCTTCTTCTTCTTGTTGTTGTTCTTCTTGTTGTTCTTCTTCTTGTTCATTTTCCGAAAGAACTTCATTTCCTTCATCAACAATTGAAAAATCCAATTTACAGGAATCATACAACGAGTCATCGGGAACAAGAGCATTAAGTATGAAAATCAACTTCTTTGCAACAGCAGGATTTCCAGTCATAATAACAATCCGGGTAACGTCCTTGTGTTTCCTTTTTATTTCATCTTCATTACCATTATCACTTATTGGCTTGTGAGTAAGCTTCTTGCGAAGGGGCAAAACTAGTGAAAATAACGTTGCAAGGAACGTATGATAAGTTTTGAAAACATCCGGGTTATTATTGTTTGAATTAGGACCAGATCCGGAGGATTCCGAGATTCCATTATGTGCTTGAGCAGTATTACTATATTCCATCATGCTGCCTTGTTTTAGTGAACTAGAAGAAAGAAATGGGACATTGGAAGCTTGAGTTGGACCCTTATTATTGTTGAAGGTAATGCTATTTGACACTGTAGTTAATGAAATAGTTGACGTCTTTGATGCAGTAGTTGTCTGTATCGATGGTTTTGCTAGTTGTTTGTTATCTTTGAACTCCAACCAGTTGAGAACTTCTAGAACCCAATTCAAAAGCAAAGAATTATATTTTGACGAGGTTTTGGACATGGAAGTTTTGATCAACGCATTGGAATTAATCAACCTCGGCAAATTAGTATCATAACTTATGAGCTTAATTAGCTTATAATATTGATGAAGGATATCAGGTTCATGCTGTAGGATCCAGTTTGGAAATTGAATACGTTTTGTATGCGTGATAAAGGATGAGGACCCAAAAGTCGTGGTATCTAAGGAACTTCGTAATAATGATATCAATTTCTTTGCAATAACTTTCTGTAATAATATCAAATAATGAGATATTTCATCCCAATTAGTAATTAAAATATCCATTAAATCTTCTTCTGGTGATTCCAAAGGTATTACAATCCCAATGGCATATTTGGATGATAGGTTCCCCATTCTACTGGAATTCAATAAGGGTGAAGAACATGCGCCAGGTGGAGAAGATGATGACGGTGAATTCGAATTCGAATTGAAACTTGAATTCAAACTCACTCCATTGCTTGATTTGAGATTCTTAACAAACACTTCTCTAGTTGGTAAAGCAGCTGTTGGGTTCCATGAGTCGGGATCTGACAAATTGAAAACCGAGGGAAACTTCTGAGCTGATGAGGGATCTCCTCTGGTAATCAGAAATAGTCTTGTTACCAACACTGAGTTGTTTGAGCCTTGAGACAAACTTGTTAGCTTTGGAAGTAAATGGATTTTCGTGATGCAGGTTGTTTCGGTGGAGGGAAGTCCACATCCAAACATGTAATCGTTGATTTCGCTAATGGGATGATGTATGCTAGAGCTTATCATGCTGTGATGGTGGTGAAGTCCTTTCACCTTTCCTGTTGTTGTTGTTGTTGAAGAGTGCAAGCTTGGGGGAGGTGTAGAGGGGACAAATGACGGACTATGGCAGGAGACTAACGATGCCAGACTAGGGGGCGGAAGCGATCCTTCGGTGGCTGAAGAGTCGTACAAAACTTGTTTAGAGCGGAGATTGCCACCATCTTGACATACCACTAATCTGAAGTATTTGAACAGCAAATTGGAATGCCGTATATTGTTAACAGTTCCATACAAGGATTGTTTGGAATAATTATCATCACTAGTATAGGAAGGCGATTGGCTGAGAGGAGAGGAGACATTTTGGCCTGTGAAAGTTGGTGGGGGAAGTTGTATTGTACTGTTGAGCGACGATATATGATGTCCACCAATTCTTGTTGGCTGTGGCACGTTATTTCTATTACCATTGATTGTATCGCTCGACAGACTCGTATGTAAACCGATTAATATATTATCCCCTTGATCCTTGTTCTTCTGGTTATTGGCTGCATCGTTTAACAGCAGAGTTGACCCTTGCTTGAACAACTTACCTAACATTTGTGTACACTTTATTAACAGCCCGACAACACAGTGAGGGTGAGACGAGAAGAGAGAATGTTCTCTTGCTGCGTCGTTGTCGTTTATCGAGGACTCCTTACGTTTGGTTGGGGCCTTTCGCTATAGGGCGAGTGTACGATATAAGAAGGTTATTATAGTATGTTATTAATTTGGTAGATGTGGAGTAAGATGTAGTGGATTTATAACATGGGGAGCGATGCCTTTGTATTTTATTATTATAAATTCGAGGTATAATGTACGACTACAAATGCCGTGACAAAAAAACAATGTACCGCCCTGGAAATCCGACAAATTACTAAAGTTATACTTTTTGACTAATTATGGATATTTGTACTACACAACTCAACATTAATCGTGCAACTAGTTGTGTATAGCTTTCAAGGAGGTCAACCTGGTTCAGTTCGTTCCTGCTTTCATGTGGGTATGGGTGCTCTTTGCTGTCAGTAGGTACATCTTCTAACTGACAGATGCTGTGCTGGGCCTATATCTGTCGATGGATAAGCCGTTAAAGGCCTACCACAAACAATGGAGTCAGGTGCACGCCTGCAGTCAGACACTTTTTGCCAATTCCTTGTTAGAACCATTCAGAGTGCATTTGGCGGTTTATGTCTGACACAAGTCGATTCCCGGGTTTCAGTCTTGTGATAATTAGCTTATCGCAAAAGGTTAATGCGGTTACTTGGGGTCTTTTGTAACTGACACTTCTTTGTCGTAGATTTCTATTTAGAGTTATTTGAGCCGAACATACCACGAAAGTGGTAAATAAAGTTAGTGAACGCACGTTTACGACTATTCAACTTCTATGATCAGTCTTCTGTTTCAATCACTTGGTCCTAGAGGTATACAGTTCACACAATTGTATGAGAAAGGTCTGGCTGATGCTCCGACCCGACATACCAACAACAAGTATACGAGGAACCATAATTGGGTTACAGAAGCACAAAAACTGCGCTGGCCGACTGCGCTACAGATTAACCTACATCTAACTTAAAGTGTCTAGATGCGTAACAGTTTTAACCGCTAGCCTTTTCTTCAGTTTAGGACAGGGGTAATATGATGAAAGGATTAAGGGGTTGGCTACGCTCCAAACGGAAAATAATGAAAATAGATGGCTTTTCAATTTTATCATAACTTAGAACCAAATCCTAAAAGTGAAGTTGTTTTAAATAGTTTATTTCTTCTTGAAGTGCATCCCATCCCGTTCATCATATTTAACCTTATCCAGCTTAATTGTTCTTTTGGTCCGAGGGTATTTGTCCGTTTGGGCACGACTTATGTCTAAACAGCATAAGGAACTTCGCATTGGGTGACCTGCTTCAGCTGATGAAGAGGAATCGTAATGTATTGTATGCACCAAGTGAAATAGCTGGTCAAGTGATAGTTTTTGTTATGTAATTATAGCTCTAGATTGTGCCGTTAAAGCATTGAGGATCAGTGTTACCCCAAATATGCACACTTTTACAATAAATCGTCTTAATTATTATCAAAATCCGGTAATTTCGGCATACAAGTAAAATTATTACCTGTGGAAGTAGAGTCTCCTTTCTCCTCCTTGTTGTTTATTAACCTCAATACGGTCGAATATAAGTGTACGAAATTCTACCACCACTAGCAACTGTATACAAGTAGATCAGACTTTTTAGGTTATGGTATTACTTCGAGTATTCATGATAATTTAGAATGTTTTCTCTCAAATCTTTAGCAGTCGATACTAGCGGTACTACTGCAGTATCACAGTATCTTTATCTTTGAGTAATTTGGCGAAATGTATGAATAACCAAGATGCATACTTCTACTGCATGAAGTAATGTGCAGCAACTGATTACCGCTACAAGAATTAATGTTGCACTTACTTCGAGATGTAACTTACCAAAGTCTTTCAGAAGAGCCATGGAATACTTCACAAGCGCTTATATTGTTGAAACATCCTTCAAGTTTTGTTATCGCAGTAATAGGGTTGAAGTTGATTAAATCAAACTTTTCTTTAAAGCCACCGATTTAATTCTGGTCGATTACGTCAAGACGTTTACCTTTTTTCCTTTTTTTCTTAAACCGTCAAGCGTATTTATGGCACTCCCTTAAGTATTTGTAAGAACTTGAATTGAGTTTCTTTGGTCATGATCACCGAGAACAGTTGTATTGTATTCATATCCCTGAAGTTAAGTTAAGGAACCTAGTGTACACAAAGTGTATCGGATTAGCTACTGTGGGGGCTAATGGTGCCACGTTCAAAATATGTTGCAGAGCAGACGTCATTAACGCATAATGATATAATTGAATGCATATTGCGAACATATTACTAACTTTGAACAAGAGGGATACTGATACCCATATGCATGAAAATATATGATCTCGTTTCGTTCAGTGGAACGTTAGATTAGTACTACCATAAACTTGCAGATTTCTTGCACCCAATCATGCCACATAAACTTACATAATCTAGTGGCTGCAAGGGCCCCGTAAAATTGTCAATAACAGACAATAGGCAAAGAAAGTTGAAAAGGTTAAACCCAAATATATGGGTTAGATTATGTTGCGTTTAGTGACTAAGATACGCAACAATTCGGCTGCAATCGGTACCTGTTGTATTAGACTACAAGGAAACGTGAGGGGATCTAGGCCGTGGCACTTGGTACACTACGCCGAACCTATATTATCTCAGTAAGCGCATATTCCTTAGGTAAAATTGCCAAATAGATATTACAGTTAGACAAACGTCCTATTACTTCCTAGGACCTTTTCTCCTAACAAATCTGAGCTTGACAGTATTGGCTCGAGCAGCTGATAACTCCGACTACCTCAAACAACCACGATTTACTAATCAAAGTGAATATACTTTTTTTTCGTCTATTTTTTGATGATTAATAAATTACTAGCATGAACTATAATACGCCGCAAATGCACCGTGTTTCACCTCAAGGATACAATTGCTTCAAGGTATCTTCCACAATTTGCAAGAAAACATCAGCATGTTCCCTTTCAAAGACCAAAGTAGGTCTCATTCTGACACTTTGGTCACCACAACCACCGATGTTCAAACCCTTGTTTCTAGCAGCAACCAAAAAGGCGTTTCTTTCATTGGCAGTGTTGAATTCAAAGGCAATGAAGGTACCAAACTTTTCACCACGCAAGTTCTTTACTTGAGTAGGGAACTTGGTAAAGATACTTTGCAAGTTACCGTATACATAGTCACCAATTTCAGCAGTTCTACCAACCAAACCGTAGTGAGTAACTTCTTGGTAGATTGTCTTTGCTAGCAAAGCCTTAGATGGGTCACCACACCAAGTGTTGAATTGTCTGAATGGTTGTTTAGGTTGCAAATCAGGGTTAGCAAAGTAGAAACCAGCTGCTTGGAACTTCTTGGAGAAAGTAACCATATCTGGAGGAGTTGGCAAGTTCCAGTGTTCATGAGCCCAGAACTTACCTGATGCACCAACACCAGTTTGAACTTCGTCAACAATCATCAAAACACCTTTGGCCTTGGAAATTTCTCTTAAACCCTTGAAGAAGAATGCAGATGCATGGTTATCACCACCTTCAGATTGAACTGGTTCAACGATGAAAGCAGCAATTTGAGTTGGCCATTGATCAATGATACGTTCAAATTCAGCAAGGCATCTTTCTTCTTCCTTTCTGTTTTCGGCTTCAAATTCACTCAATGGGTATTTTAATTCTGGGAAAGGAGCCTTTGGCCAGTCGAAAGCAGGAATATCTAACTTGTGAATAGCCTTAGATCTAGTGGTAGACAAAGAACCAAACAATCTACCATGGAAACCCTTATCGAATGACATAATTACCATGTCGCTAGTACCTGGAAGGGCATTGTCCATTACTGAAGACAATTCCTCGGCAGTGAAATCATTATCACCTCTCTTAATACTAGCTTGGTACATCAATGCAGCCTTGTAAGCAGTTTCGTTGGCACAAGAACCGCTTAATGCAGTCCAAACCTTTGTCATACCTGGAGGAGCAGCGGCCAAAATACCTTCTTCCAAGATTTGACCATATTCTTTACTGGGAAAACATGCCAAAGCAGGACGGTTGACTAATGCATTGACCATATCTTCAGATTGAGCAGTCTTGATCAATGCAGGGTTGTTGTAACCTAAGGCAATAGATGAGATTTGGGCGTAAACATCCAATAACTTGTTTCCATCACAATCAGAAATATAGTTACCTAAAGAGTTCTTGTAATCAGTGACAAAGTAAGTGGCTCTGTTGTCAAAATGTTCACCCAACTTTTTGTTCAATTCAATGGTCTTAGGACCAGGAACATTCTCAGAAACAAGAACAGGACCAGTAACTTCTTCAGGATAGTAAAGCTTTGACACATTACCCAAGTAGCGCTTTGACAAAGATGCTCTGGTGATACCTGATTTGTATGCGGTTCTGATCATCTTTATTTTTCAGATTGTCACTGTTCAAATCAAATGGAATAATAATACAAAACCAGTTGTACGTATCTAATTTTTATCGACAATCAAGACAATGATCAGTAAAAAGCTGTAAATAGAAATGTACAATTTTTCAACTGGGAACGGACATCATTATATACTTATCGAATAGGCTTTAGCAACCGATCTCCTATTACGATTATCGTATGCTTTTCGCATGGATTTCGATTTCCGCCGTTCTGTATTTGAGTCGCCGTGGACAGGCAATCCCCATCTAATACAATAGCCTCGCAGTACCACAAACCGATAACCATACACAATTTCAGTTTGCTACCATATTTGCAAACTCAAATCGTGCTAACACGGGCATATTTTTACTCGGTCGGAGCTACATTAGTTAAGTTCAGCGTTCGGTGCTTGAATCGGTTAATCGGTTATATAAAATCATTTGGCGTTGTTATACGCCTTAAAACTCTCTACACTTCTTCTCCGAGCGCCTAATGTTTGAATGCGACTACTTGGCCATAATACTTAAACAAATACGTCATAATAGCAGGGATCGAATTATGGAAAGAGGTAACCTTCTATGTTACCCTTTCAATTGGCTGTCTTATGCTTAGATTATTGGATACCAGTCAGAAACCGTGAAAACGTTTCGTTCCCGGATTTCGTTACCCTAAGAACGCTATTTAACTATGGAATAGACTCTAAACGAAACCCGCCAGCTGACTTCCAGATTCATCGGCCACGGAACTCGCCTGCCACTACAGCCGCATTAGGAAGGAGGAACCATTACGAAGTGTTTCTTACTAATTTCTTACGTAATCTAGGATATTCACAGTAGGTACCCAATGATAAAATTTAGCCAGTGCTAGTCAATTGGTATTTCTCTTCATGTACAAAATGTAAACTTCGTATTTTGTTTATAAACCACAAAAGCTTTCGTAATGCAATTCCTTGCTTCTAAAATTAGCTTTTAAGAATTAAACTTGAGCTTTTACGACAATCAACGGTTTCGTATTTTATACTCTGGAGCGATGTAAGATTTGACACCTAACTACAATACCGTCAACGGCTTGCAATCTGGCAGAATCAGTGATGTCATTATTAGCAAAGGCCCTGTACGTTTTTACATGACTAGGCACTCATTTTGGCGTGTATGTACCGGAATCTATCTGTTTGGTGATAGAGCAGGAGGAAGAGGAAGTTGGAGGTGGAATAGCAACAATTTCAAATCCACACAACTTCCTTCATCATCCCTTTTGGATAGACTTGAGTATATACGGTGAGAGTTAGCGATTACTTGTTAGCCATTGATTATTGTATAAATAATAATCAAGTGTTTTATTTGTTGTATTTCTTAGTGTGGTGTTATCTCCCTTGCAGCGTGGAACAAACCGGGGTTCCCAATATTTTTGACTCCTGTTGTTAAACAATTACATTTCCTACTCCACATTTCTATATATCAACGCAAAAAATGTCCGGAGAAGTTGCTGTAGAGCCCCCAGGTACCTTCAAGAATATCTTCAACAAGCTAAGTGGGCAACCGGAATCATATTGCCGGAAGTCGAGGTATACTTTTGGTCGGACATTAGGGGTAGGGGCGTTTGGCACTGTCAGATGTGGAAAAGATACTATCACAGGTGAAGAGGTGGCTATAAAAATTATATTGAAGAAATCATTGAAGGGGAAGGAACAGATGGTCATTGATGAGTTGAGAATGTTACAAGAATTACACCATCCCCATATCGTGGGTTTCCGTGATTGGTTTGAATCAAAGGATAAATTCTATATTGTTACTCAATTGGCTACTGGCGGTGAAATGTTTGATAGAATCATCCAGCAAGGGAAATTTACTGAACATGATGCATCTTTAGTAATTGTTCAAATTTTAGAGGCTCTTGAATATTTGCATGATCAAGACATTGTTCACAGAGATATCAAACCAGAAAATGTTTTGTATTTAACTCCTGATGATGACTCAGAAATTGTATTAGCAGATTTTGGTATTGCAAAGAAATTACATTCTCCTGATGAAAAGTTGACTCATGCAGCAGGTTCACCCGGTTATGCTGCTCCAGAAGTAATTATGGGATTAGGTCATGGGAAACCTTGTGATATATGGTCCTTAGGAGTTGTGGCATATACAGTTTTGTGTGGTTATTCTCCATTTAGATCTGAAAATGCAACGGATTTTATTGCTGAAGTAAAGCATAATAATGCGGTCATTTTCCATGCAGATTATTGGAAAGACGTTTCTAAAGATGCAAGGCGGTTTATTATTAAAGCTTTACAATTTAATCCTGATGAAAGACCTACTGCCACTGAGTTATTGAATGATCCATGGTTAGTATCTATAGCCAAGGATCATAAGGAGAAGGACTTGTTACCTAACTTGAAACAAGGTTTCAATGCCAGAGCTAAATTCAGACAAGTGATTGAAGTGGTAAAATTAAACAACAGAATAAAGAAATTGAAGGAGTACCAAACTGAAGATGACGATGATCCAAATGAAATTAATTTGTTTGGAGAAGACGGGAAAGAGATGAAATTACTGTCTGGTGAATCATCTACATTAGAAGGTAGTACTGCTTCCAGTAGTCCATTGTACTCTTGGCTGAGGTTACAATCAGCTCTTCGATCATTAGACACTAGCGGAAACACTCAATCCCAGGCTTCGTTGTCTGAAATCAAGTCACCTTATAAGCTGGACCATGCTGCTTCAAGTCTTGAGGTTTCCAAAAAACCAAGTGATAAAGCCAACAAGACAAAGGAAAAGTCCAAATTATCAGCGAATGCTTTTGTTCAACTTGTGCACACTGCCTCTGAAAACCAGGAGAGAGTTCGAACATACAAGGAACATGATCCTGCAGATGATCCTGGAAAGTGATTTGGCTGATAAACTTTAACCACTTTTGTTTTGACAGAAAGACTGAAACCCATACGACATGCTTATATGTAAGCTCTTCTTTTTTACCAGAAATTTCATCACAGAGATAGCTCTATTTTTTCTCATGTAAGGAAAAATTTTCAAACTCCTGTAAGTTGAAAAAGCTTTCATACTCCGCATCTGTACAAATTGCACATGCACCTAATAATAGAATAAATATGCTTATGCGTGGACCAAATATGCGCATGTGGAAATGGCGTGGCGTGGCGTGGAATACACGGAAAGGATACTTGCATGATGAAAATAGATTTACATCTCGGTTCTGTTGGTATGACAGATGACGTAAGTCATACCTCGCTCGTATACTGGTCGCCGTTATATATACGGCAAAAATTAGGGGAGATTGCTCCAGTGATCGAAAGAGACAGATCTCGATTAGAAAGAATTTTAAATTTAAACGATACAAGTTTAATTTAGTTGGTCAACGCCTTTTCTAGATTGTAAAAGTCATCGTCCAAGAGCTCAACACCAATGAGGGGTTCATTTACGACAAACCTTTTTGTTTTGTGTTAGGAGTTGAAATATTTCATTTAATAGTCTTATTGTTCTGCGTTTATGATTTCTGAGTAAGACACGGCTGCATTCAGAGACCACAGCCGCGTCTCTCGAATGCGTTATAGATACAATCGATACCATTATTCCTTACCTTTTAGAAGGCCAAACATGGCGATTAATATTACTAAGAAAATTGCCAATTTGCGTTGACCTCGAAAAAGTGGTCACGATCTCTGATTCCCCACAATTATCGGTGAATTTAACCACCTTGTACAAGAGATATTGAATTAAAAAGCTCTTTTCAATGCATAGCCTTATTGAACCCCTGATTCATAGCTAACCTTAAACACCAATGGGTGCTACCCTTTATTATGGGGGTGTACCATTCACTCACAGTTTATAGAACCGACCTGCGCCACTTGTCGTTTGGAAATTTCGCACCTTTGCCTAAAATACGAGAGTGCATCGTTAGGTGTTGTGTTTTCAAGATTGTGGGGACTGGGATGACAAATCGGTCATCCTGTATGTATACAGACAACATGCGTACATTACGAGTCGTTACGCACATTTACGCATTTCGCATGTTGCCTGATTTCATCATTGACCAAAGCATCAGTACTAATAACTATACGGACTAAGCGACAGACATATCCAACGCAATGGAAAGGAATGATGATCCTACTAGGAAGGATATATGCGACTAAAGTATTGATAGATTGTTCATTACGACGAATTGTCGCTTAGCAGTAAAATATACAAACAGGCATACAAGAGAATACAACCTAATGACCGTGCGCAATATAATCATTGGAAAAGTAACCACAATAAACAAAAACAATTAGAAGAACTGAAACTAATGAATAAAACCATATTAGAAAATACAATAAACCAAAAAAAAATACCCTAATTAAAGTCAACCTTTCCACCCATCAAATGTTAGAATAACCATGTAAAAGTTCAAATTGTAGGTTGTCGGATCCTGTCTTATACATATCTTCTCCATTGTTACCTGGATTGGTTGAAACTATGTTAGGTGGCTCGCTTGATCCGCTTGATCCAAGTGCTAAAAGAGTACCACTTGTAGCTTGGGGTCCAGTACCAGGATTAGCTATTGAATATGGTGCTATTAAGCCATTGTTGTAACTGTAATTGAATTGATTAGTGTTATTAGCACCATAATAGTTATTGAATGGATCAACAAATCCTTGAAGTTGAATTTCTTCACCTGAATGACTAGCACTAGTGCTACTGGAGAAAGAACTCCCGGCATTGTTAGCAGGACGTTCCAAACCTGAACCATTGGTCAACTCATGCTGGCTGTTGTTATAAAGTGTCAAATTGTAGTCACCCACTCTCTGTGTTGCAGCAGAATGGCCAACAAGTGAATTGCGATAATTGAGAGATGATAGGCTCTTGTTAAAATAGTAACTAGAGCCACTTGGATAAGACGTCAGTGAGTAGGTTTGATGGATCTGAGTTTGAACTGGGCTCAATTCCAGGTTGAAATCTTGTGAAAACATTTGCAACGAAGAGTTAGGCATATCTGCGCCTTCACTACTGGCATGCAAACGCTGGTTCATCGAACTTGAGGTCAGACTGTCATCATCATAGGAGGAATAATCATAAGACTTGCTTAAATCTGGAAACGATAACGTACTATAAGTAGCTGGAACACCAGCTTCTTCCATCGATTGTCCTGAACGTGTTCTATCAAACAGACCATAGCTTTCTTCTGATACTAAACTCTTTGTTCTCTTTCTTGGAGATAATTCTTCACTTGGAATGTAGCCTGATATAAGTCTCTTGCGGGACGACTTTCTGGATATGGATGAGTGTAAATCCTTTGACAGTGGCCTGCCTCCGTGTAAGTCCGGTTTATCCGCCTTACTGGCTTTCAAATATTCATAGCACCTATCACCGTAGTTCTTAGGAGTCAACCCAGTGACCGACTTGAAAACACGATGGAAGTGCCATGGGGAAAGTTTTGATTTGGCAGCCAATTCCTTGAATCCCAATATTCCACCTCTTCTCTTTCTCTTTCTCTTGCAAGATGAAGATGAAGATCCTTGCAAATCAGGTGAAGTAGATGACGAGGCCTCATTTGGAGAATACGAAGTTGGTGAAACATTATTAGCAGCAGCAAAAGCCAAATGACGACAAGCCAAATCAACTAACCGGTAGTGATCTGAGTCATTTTTGGATAATGTGTGAGAGTCGTAATCTCTTGAATTGTTCCCATTATAACCAACAACAGGAGCAGAAGCTCTTCTATTTCCTGAAATTTCACCACTAGACATACTATCTCCTCTAGCTCTCATGGTCTCTAGAATGTTTTCCTTGATCTTGCGATTATTTAAATCTTCATTTTCATCCATTAAAGGAGATAAGAAACCAATTTGGGAATTAACATGGGACACACAGTTAATTAACATTTTCACATCTGTATGAGGCAATCTCATAGGTGAACATGCTTCACATGGGGTATATCCTAACCTTAATGCCTCCTCTGAAGTATCGACAAATATTATTTCAGAACGTAAATTGGTTACTTGTCTTGCATCACAATCGGGACGACAAAAATAATGGTTAGTCTTATTACAGACATAGAAACTCCCGCTAGAAAATGGATCACTAAATTGATATGCCTTCCATCTGGCTGCTTCTGTTGAATAAACCATGACTAGTTGTATGTTAGGAAATGATTTCTTCTTTAAACGTGATGGTAATACGACTGAGCTTATTCCGAGGTGGGTAGGTAGGTAGAAACTTGCTAATGTTGAGTTAAGGATAGTTTACTGAACTTTACTCAATAATAATATCTTCAGAAGTGTACCAATAAAGCTATCGTAGTACTTCACTATTATATCTAGCTCTCAGAGTATTGATAAATGGTAAAAAGTGCAAAAACGCGATACAACCGTAGGTGACTATATATGGGAAACCCCATACTATTATATATTCATATGTATACCTACTCTCAAACAATAAGTACCGTTTGTTAAATTCACCCACACAAGTAAATAGAAAATGAGTTCCGAATTGGAATTCTACATAATATCTGTAGGTAAACAATAGGCGCTTGATTGACTTATTGTATTTACGTTGAGTTCTTTTTTGGGGGCTATTGATGACTTGGCAGGAACAATAACCCTTGCACCACCACACAACCCAAAAAATAAAAAGAGAATGCATAAATTTTGTGGACTTGTGAATGTTGTAATCTAGTTACTGCGTTAGGAGTTAGATTACTGGGCGGGGCATCATAATTTGAATTAGAATGTAATTTTTCACTATTTGCTAATAACAGAAAGCTGAATAACCAATCAGTTCACTACGTTTCCGAAATATGACCAACCTATACGAATCTTTAATAAAAGTAATTTACATAGATGCTCCATGAAATAGGACCAATTTTTAAGGACAAGCGTTTAGCGGGAGAGACAAAATTAGAATTCCTTTATGGTTAAACTTGTTCAATCGCTTATTTAGTTCGTTTCATGTTAATTTTCAGTTGACTTGGTGATGTGTATGTAGGTACCACTTTACACACACATAATTTAGTGCATAATCCACAGTGACGTATAATAGATACATAAACTTTCAACTATTCTAAAAAGTATAACAAGGGAAAGAAAATATGTGGGACTTGCAACATGTTATGCAGACAATAGGATTCCTCCTCCTTCCATTGGTTCCAATTTGTTCTCGCTACCTCTAGGTTAGTATAAGAGGTGGTGCATGCGTTTCCTACATGTAATTGTCGAAAAAAGACCTTAGGCTGTATAAAAGTTCGGAGGTGAACAAGGAACACCACATGAAAAACAAGGGGCTCTATCTTAATAATTTATGCGTCAGGTACACAACTTTTTTAAGTAGCCGGAGTACGTCAGACACTCTGCGGCTCAAAATTGGGGTCACTACAAGGCCAATTTGTTACCATCCAAGCCTCCATGCGAAAATGGTCTCTTATTAGCAAAATATCTGTTGGCTTTAGGCCTGGTGAAGTCCAAACTTGTAGTTGATTAGCAACTTCCCACATTGAAGTGGTTATTTCAAAAAGATAAGCCATAAAATAGAAGGTTAGTGATTGCCGCATGTAGTGGCGGCTTCATATCAAGTAAGTTTGTAATTCTTTAACCCTGGATTTATGCTTGATGGACTATCGGAATAGCTGTTGTTAATTCGGCGTAAACAAGTGAAAGTTTTAACTCTTGTATGGGTGATGTTATTTCTCATACAGATTTCCATTGTAACCAGAGTATGCGAGTTTACCACCCTACTTCCATATATAGAAAGAGAATGGGAAAGGAACTCCTCGATTTGAAGTCCGTCATCTTTTCTTCTTCGGTATTACGTCTTTATAGTAGCCGTTTTTTTTTTTAAAAAAAGTTCGCCTTTTAAGATGATTTAGTTTACTAAAGCAACTTGGACCTCTTAGTCAATGTGTAGGCAAGGGCAAGGATATATTGTTCTTGTAGCTTTAACAACCTAACTACATTATATGATTCGTGTAAGCACCAAGGATATCGTGATAACACCACTTTTTATAAGTGTTCCCAGAAAAGTAGTAGGCGTTCTTAGAAGAGCACAAAAATAGCCTTTTATGCATGAATTTATGAGGTGATGCAGGTCCTGGTCAGAAATCGGAATGCCCAAGTAGGATGGTTATAGTCCTAGAAGACGTGGATATACGAAAATATTAATACGTTTCTGTTTTTGAGGGGTGGTAGGATTACCTCCCTTTTTTTCTAATATACAAAGATTTTGTGTCTCGGTCACTGATTTTTTTTTTACCGATTGACAACTGGATACCAAACAAACTCACCTGCTATGACTCCAGTACTTCCTGCCGAGCCTACGGTATCCAATGAGATGCTACTTTTATCTCACTTATGATAGCTCAATAGTGATGTAAACGTTTTAGATGTATGTCGTCAGAAAGGCCACTTATTTTTTTTACTGGTTGTATTCTTTTTTCTTCTGCTTTCTCCAACTACGTACATCTTTCGATAGTCTTGTCATGTTAATCACACAAGGTGAGAAAAGCCATGAAGGTTTACTACAAATCCGTTCCAGAACACGCAAAGACTCTTAATTACAGACGGGGGCGGTGTGGTTCCTAAAACCTTTCATTTTGGTGCTGAATCTACTTAATTTTATGCGGCTAGTTCTCTCTAAAGGCCTCAATTTTGCACTTATTTTTCCTAGTGCATTATTTAATCCGTAAATAGTGAATCACCTACCGTGTGTTTATAAAGCCTTCATGCATCAAAGTCGCCATTTAAATATTATTTGCGATTGGCAACAGATTCTCCGTAGGTCTGGACCAATTTGTGCGTTTTTAGAGGTTTTGTCCCACAAAACCTCACAATTTTATTTAGTTACTTCACATAATGAAATGATGATGATTACAACTGTGTCTATTAGAATTCGAAATCTGAGTTCCAATGGTAACCAGTAACAGAGTTCAATCTCGACACGAAGGCTCCCATCATAAAATCAATATCAAATATGGTAATCTTTTGCTTTGCTTGACTGTTGTGTTTGCTTTGCTCATATACTGTTGGCGTCGTTTTATAGCTCCAAGGCTGTGGAGATCAAAAGGATATCCTCCAGAGATTAAATCTTTAAGAACCAGAAAAGCTCAACTTTTTTGGCTGACGGCATGCTGGAGTGGAATTATTTTAGGGTTAGCGTTTTTCCATATCAATCTACCAAGTGAATATGTTACTCTAGGAAAACGGTTTGGTCGGTTGGCTTATGCATTGGTACCATTGGATATACTTTTAGTAATCAGACCTGGTTTTCTAGGTAACTATCTTGATTTGGTAGGATTGCACAAATGGATCTCTCGGATTATTTTTGCCTGTTTGACAGAACATGCTCTTGCCTATTACTACAAGTGGTGGAAGGCTGGAGACGTGATCAAAAAGTCATTCCATGTTTCAAACTTATTGGGGGTGATTGTGTTTTGGGTGTTTGTTGGCTTGATAATAATCTCCCTCAAGTTCTTCAGAAACAAATGTTATGGCCTATTTTATATTTACCACAATGTTGCCTTGGTACTTATGGTTGTATTGATTCCCTTCCATGCCAGACCAGGAGTCACTGTTTTTGCAATAATATCCGTCATATTACTAGGGGTTCAACTTTATTATAAGGTGGCATATCTGAGTTCTGTAATATTAGAGGTTGTCCAGGGGAGAGCGGGAAGCAAGCTTCAAGTGGTGAAATTCGTGAAACCCAACTCCCTTGATGTTTCTTGGTTACCCGGTTCACATATTCGTCTTAATGGGCTTCTGTTTAAGGAATACTTACTTCCTTCGCATCCGTATACTATTTCGTCTCCGCACAGTGAGAGCTCAGTGAGTCTCATAATTCAAAAGTCTAGATTTATACCTGTTAGTGAGTGCTATTATGTTGTTAGTGGCCCCTTTGAATCTTCAATACCCGAAGGGTTTTATGAGAATGCCGATCAAAAGACCATTTTAATCATTTGTGGAGGCTCTGGAATATCGTTTGGTTTGCCTGTGCACCAAAATCTACAATCATTAGGTGTCAATTCCAGATTAGTATGGGTAATTAGATCTAAAGCGGATTTGTATATATTGGATCATTTCTCCCAAATGGAAAACGTTGATGTTTATGTGACAGGGATATCCGAAGATATGTTTACGTCCTCACCAAATGGCGAAGATCGCTTTGAAGTTGAAGAACTTCTAGATGAAGAAAATGGAATTCAATTAGAGACCATGGAAGAAGTGGAAGATAGCCAAGATCCGTACAACGATAAAAACCCAAGCTATAGACAACATAGAGGTAGACCACAACTAGATGACATTGGATTTGGCTTGGAATCAGAGGTGAATCCCTGGGTCATAGCCTGTGGTCCTAAGGATTTAGTAAATGAAAGTGAAAAATGGTGTAGTTCAAAAGGTATCCATTTCCTTTCAGAAACATACCAGTTCTAATAAGTAATTCTAGTCTAATTATTATAACCAATTGTGTCATTATTATATGGCTATAATTAATTGTAGGTTGCTATTATTCATAATCTTTGTATATGGCTTTTATTCAGTACAAAGGGAGATCAATTTTATTATTACACGCGTACTTGAACGATCAAAGTCTGAAACTCCACTACTTCAACAGACAGACATAATAATGTCATGTCTGTTTTGAATCCTCGTGAAAATCCTCACAACTGTCTTGAATCAGATGGCTATGGTTCATCTAAGTTCATCTATAAAGATTTGTACGCATTCCTGAGGGCTTCGGAGTCATGGCAATCGCCACTTTCTACAATAGCTCTTTTGGACATGAATGCATTCTTTGCTCAAGTAGAGCAATTAAGATTAGGACTATCCATTGATGACCCAGTAGTTTGCGTTCAATGGAATATGCTTATAGCAGTTTCCTATGCCGCCAGGAAGTACGGAATTGGCAGAATGGATACCATCAAGACCGCCAAAGAAAAGTGTCCACACGTTATTCTCGCTCATGCTGCAGTGTTTGTGAAGGGAGACCCCATGTGGTCGTATTTGGATGAGCTCCCCAACCAAGGACTCTGCAAGGTCTCCTTGGATCCATATAGAAGAGAAAGTAGAAAGATCATGAAGGTACTTAAACAATCATGTGATCGAATAGAAAAGGCGAGTGTGGATGAATGTTTCATGGATCTTGGTGAACAGATATATAATGAATTATTCCAGCTATTTCCTACTTTAAAGAAGAATCAAGATCCTAATACTTCTCTTCCTCCTGTACCTCGGAAACTACCTTCTTCTTTACATTGGAATGGGTTTGTTTATAAGAATGAGAAAGAGGAGTTAAAAGGTAATCAAAAAAATGAATTTGACGATACATTTGAACCTTTCGCTACAGATTGGGATGATGTTTGTTTCATTATCGGTTCCAACTTGTTATACCGATTGCGCCAAGATGTTTACAACAACTTAGGGTACACAACTTCTGGAGGAATTGCAAACAATCGAGTGGTGGCCAAGTTAGCTGGTGGGTTCCGGAAACCTGACAATCAAACAATAGTACGAAATTGTGCTTTAGAAGACTTTCTTAAGAAGTTTGAACTAACTGACATGCAAGGAATGGGAGGGAAAATCGGGGAACAAATTATCACCAAACTTAAAATACCAAAGGGTGAAAACTCAAATGCATACATCAGAGACAATTTCACGGTACAGACCTTGGAGGAAAAGTTGAAGGAGGATAAGCAATTAATTCAAAAATTATATAATTTAGTACGAGGGGTTAATCGACTGGAATTGTCATTTAGAATTGAAATTAAATCAATGATGTCAAGAAAGAATTTCCAAGTCAAGTATCCAGTCCAAACTTTAGGAGATGCATTTGATTGGATTAAAGTATTTGTTGGTGACATAATAAGCAGAATAGTAGAGCTTGATGACGAAAACATGGAGCTATCACCGACTACAGCTCTGCCAACAAAACGTCGAAATGTTGTGCGACGTCCTAAGACCATTTCAGTTCATATAAATTTGAATCGGAAAGAAACAAGTCGACAATCATCTGTTCCCCTCTACACAGATTATGAAAAGCTTTCAAAGTCTCTTGAATCCATAACTTATAGATTATTGAAAGAATTCTTTGACCAAACTACTAGTTTACACTTAAAAAATGGAGGTAAGCATTTGAAGGATTTAGATGATGGAAAGAAAGACATTAAAACCATATCTATTCTTCCAATTAATGCGCTTTCATTGGTGGCTACCAATTTTACTAAGGTAAGTGAGACTTCTGTTTTCAAACCAGAACCAGGACATTCGAACCTGGAAAACATTAGAAAATTGTTTGCTGAACTCGACCAAGAGAAGAGAAATGAAATCAAGTCTACAGAAGCGCCCCTGACAGTGACTCAGGAATCGAGTGGATCTACTCTGAAACGTGCTCAGACATCGTTAATAAGAGACCTTTTCACAAAGTTCAACAAAGATCAACAACAGACATCAACAAAATCTTCTTTTAAAAAGGCACCCAAATCTAAACTCCCAGTTTCAGACAGTATACCAAAGAACGAGCCCAATAAATCTGAAAGTATCAAAGACTTATTTATCAAGTTCAATGAATCTCAAAAACGGACAACAGATTCTCTGAACACCAAAAAGAGAAAGTCTCCTTCTCCGATACCAACTGCGGCGAAAAGAGAACAAAGAGTACTGGTTTTAGATCAGTTACTAAATGCTCGGAATAGACTTAAAGTGCCTGTAACCACAAACCAGCCTGAAGGTAAAGCCGGAACTGAAAATTATTGCTCAAAATGTGAGAAAGAGATAGACGATCCGATGGAGCATAGTGATTATCACTATGCACTTGAGCTTTCAAAGGCCTACAATGGTTAATATACTTTATGACCGATCTAAGAAGTACATTTAAGTATGAAGTAAACTTAGTACCCTATATATTCATTTTATGACACAAAATACTATTCAATGATTGAAAATCAAAAGGAACGGTACCGAGGTTGAAACAAATACGTTGGACACCCTCTACTACATTGACAGTTCAAAAAGAGGTTATAATGTCTCAGTCAAGGGAAAGTACAAATTCGATGGCATTGCCATTTGCGAATGCTTCAACAATAGGTACGTGTTTAGAGGAAACCAAGTTATATAATATGAGACTCGATTGTGGGGTAGCCTACTAACACATGCTATAGTACGAGCTAATCAAAAGGATGCTTACTTTGAATCAGACATTCGAACCAAGATACAAGATGTCATACATGCACTCAAGGACCAGAGGTTTGTTTATTCGCATCCTGAAGAGATTACGGTGTTTGCTAAGAGTCTATACTTGGCATTAACAACATTACTTGGGGCAAGAACTTTGGGAGAAGAGTATGTTGATCTTATATATGTGAACAAATCTGGAAGCAGATTGCCTCTGATCAAGCGGCGACTTGGATTTGTTGCGTCTTACTCCTTGATGCCGTATATAGTAAGTTCATTGATGAAACTACTTCGGAAGAAATACGATGCTTATGATGACGATGATGATGAAGATGAGGACGACAAACGTAAATCGAGTGGAGGGAACATAGAATGGCTAGTAAGGTTTTTATCATCTTACAGAAACACTTTGGACACGTTTATGAATCTTCATATTGCATTATTCTATTTTTCTGGACAATTTTACTCCTTATCAAAGAGAATCTTTGGTTTAAGATATGCATTTGGACACAACAAAGATATTAGTAAGATCCAAAATGGTAACTATTCACTTTTGGGTCTATTGATATTTTTACAATTTGGCATCAAGACACTAATTAAGTTCAAGACCTATGTGGAAGAGCAGAAGAATGCCAACCAACACAATGCATCCGATCAGGAGACATTACCAGGTAACGCTATACGAATTAGCAAGTTCAAGACATTGGAAGCTTTGAAGAAAGGTATGAAGAAGGAAGCGTTGGTGAATATCGATCTCTCAAATGCTGATGAGTTGCCATACATACCTGAGGAGTCTAGATCATGCATGCTTTGTCTATCACCTATGGTGAATCCTTCTGCCGCACTCTGTGGTCATATATTTTGTTGGGATTGTATAGTTGATTGGATTCGAGAACACCCTGAGTGTCCATTGTGTCGACAACAGTGTTCTGAACAGAATTTACTTCCACTCAGGTGATATAAAATAACAACAATATGATTGTACTTGGCTTACGTTTACGAACTTTGGAGCAATTTCAATATTCGTAATATTATCTTCATGCGAAGTCAAGCCAATATGGGGGATACCGTATGTTTGTATGTTTCTGGAACAGAAGCATAATGGTTAATGGCCTCTAGAATATTGTATATTGAGTGACGGAAAGAGAATGGCATGGCTTTACAAGGTTGAAATCTCACAACCAATGGGTATTAACACAGCAGCAGAAGACTACGAGCGCACTACAAGATGGATTAAAAATAATAGTTTTAAGTTCAATAACAAAAATCGTACGTTCCCGGGACAAGCCAAAAGTCTATAAAGTCTAAGTAGTGTAGCTGATAAGAAAGAACACACGTCGTAGTGAACACACGTCGTAGTGAACACACGTCGTAGTGAACACATTTTGTAGTCGAGAGAAGCACACATTTCAGTCGCGTGTTTTTGTACCTTGTTCATTCGTCTTTGACATCATTTCTGAAAATGATGGCACAAACCAAAAATTTTGACAACACAAAAAAATATCCTGAGTAGAGATTGAAGCAGTGAGGGAAGGACAGATTGAAGAATACTGAGTAGCAGGTTTGCAGGAACTGCTAAAAGAATATCAGTTTGGTGAGGATGAGCTTGGAGGAAGGAATCTCTTTGCCCTATACGAAGGGTAAAATCGATGTGGAGAAGCCCTTAGATTCAGAATCTGATTACTCAAGAACTTTTAAACCAGGAAGACCTTCAACACCATCTCAAAGTGCTGCAAGAAGTGCAACAGGTTTGCTTATGCATTATAAGAAGGGGATTTTGATTTTAGCAACTCTTTTATTCTTATCTTTTTTCACGTCTGTCCCCTTGATTCCACATTTCAAGACCTCTTCTCCTAAAGTTGTTCTTATTTTGGCCGCGAATGAAGGTGGAGGTGTTCTTAAATGGAAGGGACCTCAAGAATGGTCTGTGGAACGTTCATCTATTGCTAATAAACAACAATATGCTAAAACCCATGGATATGGTTTGACCATCAAGGATATGACCATCAAGAAAAGATACTCTCATGAATGGAGAGAAAGTTGGGAAAAGGTTGATATTTTGAAGGAAACCATGAGGCAATTTCCTGATGCTGAATGGTTCTGGTGGTTAGATTTGCATACCTATATTATGGAACCACAAATCTCTTTGGAAGAACATTTCTTGAATGATTTGCAGAATCAAACTTATAGAACTTTGGAAAACTTTAACCCATTAGGTCTACCTGTTGATCTTCCATATGTTGATTATAATAAGCCTATAGATTTGATAATAACTCAAGATTGTGGTGGATTCAACTTGGGTTCCTTTTTAATTAGACGTTCTGATTGGTCCGAAATGTTATTGGATTATTGGTGGGATCCTGCTATGTATGAACAGATGCACATGCAATGGGAACACAAGGAACAAGATGCTTTGGAAAGCTTGTATAGCACACAAGCATGGATTAGAGAACGTACAGCTTTCTTACCATTGCGTAAAATAAATGCTTTCCCTCCTGGTGCCTGTTCTGATAAGGCCAAAGATCCTCAATATTTCTTCCAAATACATGACTTTGTCATCAACATGGCTGGTTGTGAGTATGGTAGAGATTGTTGGGGTGAAATGGAACACTACAAGGCTTTGTCAAAGAAACTTCATCTTAATTGGTGGAAGTTTTGGTAAAGATTGAGTAGAGTTTTACCCATTACATTACATAGAGTTAAATATTACTATAAACTACAAGATTTAACCAAGTGAGTACTGTAGCAGACGCTTAGCACACACACGGCACGCACACCACTATAACTCATTGCACTAATGCCAAATGGGTAGGACTCATTGGTGAACACACGACCCCTCTCTAAATTACTTTCATTTACAAAACGAAAAGTGCAAAAGTGCCAAATACGTTTTCCATTACGACACGGTGTAAAACCATAAACAAATCCGTGGCAATTATTTCACGAGGAAAGTTATGGCTGATAACTTCTGGGCAGAAAAGAGTCCGTTTCCCAATCACCACGGATTGGCCACTGATGATTTGTTTGGCAATGAGTTCTCCAGTGGTGGCATTGACATGGGGAACGACAACAACAATAATAAGAATCAAGGTGGTGGTTCCATCAAAAACTTTGCAAATAACATGCAATCAGGTATGAAGTCATTTGGTGGACAGATGCAATCAGGAGTGCCGGGAGCTCAACACCAACTGGCCTCAAACCCAGTGTTTAATCAACAACAACAAATGTTCTTACAGCAACAACAGCAACAACTTCAGAGAGGTCTTCAGAGCGGGCTTTACGATGACAATCAAAAAGAGCAGATGATAAAATTGCGTAACAACGTAATTCAACAGCAGCAACAGATGATGCAACAACAACAACAACAACAACGTGGAAATGACAACATTGGAAATGGTGGTCATTTCAATCTGGAAGGTTCACAGGATATCGAGATGGGGATGCAACAACGCCAAAATTCTCAAAGTGATAGTTTTGTTGGTACTCCACCAGTTGGACAAACTCCAAGAATGCAACCAGGCCCATCCATTGGGAATCCTAGTGCTGCTAGGCAGATGAATTCCTCAGCTTTGCATGGACAGAAGCCATTTTCAGGACAGCTTCAAGATCAGCAGGTGCGCCAACAACAACACCAACTACCACAGCAACAACCTCATCAGATGACCCAACAACAACAACAACAACAACAACAACAACAACAACAACAACAACAGAAACCTCCACCTCCTCAGCAGCACCAACAGCTGCAACAACAACAGCTGCAACCGCTGCAGCAGCCAAGATTATCGAACATGCAAATGGCACAGCTCCAAAGCGAGTTATTTTTGGCCACGTTGCAGGACTTCCTTAATCGAAAAGGTACTCCAATCACTCAAACTCCGGTCATTAATTCTAAGCGCGTGAATTTATTCTACGTATACATGATTTCCCTGAAACTTGGAGGTCCTCAAGAGTTAACGAAAGCTTTACAACAACCAGTACCCGGTCCTCAAAATCCTTGGACTATTTTATCTCTGAGGCTAGGTCTTTTAGAGAATGTCCATGATGATATGCAAAGAACTCAAGTGGAAAAGGAGTTAGCCAGGCTTTATCTTGATACAATTCTTCCTTACTTGCAATATTGCAACACTCCGAATGGTCAGAGAGACATGCAACAAAGAAGAGCCTACTTCCATAGGCAGATTCTTTTGAAGTTTCAATCTCAGGCCCAACAACAACAACAGCCACAGCCAACGCAACAGAAATCCTCCTCGCAATCACAGCAATTATCCCAAAATCAATCCCAACAACTCCACCAGCAGCAAAGAGTGAATAAGCCAATGGATATGCCCACGTCTGCCGTTCTTCCGACCAATAAATCTCTTAATGATTTGTCGAACATTGGAATGTCTCCTGGTGTTGTTGCTCAGTCCCCAGCCCCAAATTTTGTCAATAGTCCATCTGTATCTCATCAAAGCCCACATTTGAGTCTGGCCGCAACTCCTCAACAACGTCGCATGTCTCGTGCTAGTAATCAATCTACTCAAAACTCTCCTTATTTGAACCAGCAACCAGCACCACAAAGTGTCCCAACCCAAAGAACTTCACAACAAGGAACACCTTTGCAACAGTTTCTGTTTGGCCCAGCTCAACAACAAGGACAAAACCCAGTCCAAAGACAAATACCACCCCCAAGATCGTCAAGTGTTGCTTCACAAACGTCATTTACTACGCCTTCCAACGGTCCCATTCGGTCAAGGAAAGCTTCTAGAGTTCAAACTCCTGTGTCTGCATATGGCGATAGATCACAAGGCGATACTATAGTCGGCGATCAGGATGTACATTCTAAACAGCCTTCTCAGGCAAACATACATACTTCACAAGACCCTAACATCATCAAAAAGTATGTACCTTTCAAGAAACCCTTGGATCTTTGGGGTGGATATGAAATTAATCGTATCTCAAGTATAGGTGGTGAACTTGATGGAACGAAGCCGGTATTCCTATTTGCTCCAGAATTAGGTACTATTAACATTCATGCTTTGACAATGTCGTTGAAAAGCTACTCAAGTCCTAACAGTAATGAGGCTATGTATGCATTGAATACTTTATTGGTTGCTACTTCAGATGCAATGTATGGCTTTAAAATTGATGATTGCAAAGAATTATTAGATTCTTTGGCAAAATTAGGGTTGAAGATTCTTGAGCACATTGTGGACAAAGATTCTAGGTATCGGGACCCCTACAACGAAGTTAGCGATCTTCCATCCAACGATGCCATTGACTCTGTATTTGAAAAGTATGTGAAGAAAGAACAAGCCTGTGAAGATATTGCCTTTGTCGTTGAATCATTAACTGGTGAAGTGATAGAAGACGAAATGGATGATTCTGAAGACTCTGATGAGTTTATGGATGATATATTTTCACCGCAAACCGACAACACCCCTATTTTGGGTCATAGTGATGTTGACTCATTCTCTGTTCCTGACTACTTGACAAGCCTTATGGGTTTCAAGGAAGAAAACAAAAATCCATTCAGTAAATTACAAAGCAAGAGTGCTACTGATGAGCAATTAATGCTTGTTGATCTGTTAATAACTGTGACCATGATTATCCGGAATATTTCATTTGGGCTCGGAAACCAAGCTACTTTGGCTAAAAACCCATGCCATAAGAAACTATTCTTTTCCATTGTGAAAACCATTGCCACCAGTCCTAATAATTTCATCTTTTACCGAAAAAGATTATGTTTGATGAAAGACTGTCTCGTGATTTTGAATAATCTTGCATTGAACTTTGAATTGGAAACATTGGAAGAAACGTTTTTGGTGGTTGCACTTGTGTTTTATTTTGGCCCTAAGGTTGAAGACCTGCTTAGAGTTCCTAAAACAAAATTAGATGTTCACACTTACTTCCAATTTGCTATTGATTCTCTTGCTAAGCTTTTGGTAAAGGAGCCATATAACAGAACATTATTTCTGGCCATTTTGACAGGATCATTAAATGTTAGTGGCCAGCCTTTAATTGGGAACGCCAAGCCGTTAAGAATAACTGATGAAGATAGACTAGCTACTGAAAAGCTTATAAATGCTTACATGGCAAGTGATAGCACCGTTGTTGGAGAAGGAGGGCTTATTATTCGAATGTTACAGATACTTTTCAGTATCTTGCCATTTGATGCTACCACCTTTGAGTTTTCCAAGTTTGTCTTTTCTAGAGCCCCAGTTATCTGCCAGGCATTGTTTAGTGCTAAACTAATTTTGGATATGTTACCCTTGGACGAATTTGCTACGCCATATAATCGTTTAGTTGTTGAATGGCTTGTTGCGAATAAAGAACCCCTTTTAACGGATTTTGTCCGAATGGCGGTGATTTTGACATCTGAAACGGATAAAGTTCCCCAAGGGACCGAAGAGCGCCGAGTTTTGAACATTGTTTTAATCAAGGCAATGGTGGCCATGAATACTCTCTTGGGACACGCAATCTCATACCAAAGAATGCTAGAGGAGAGCAAATCAGGAGTTGACGATTCCAATGATGAATTGCTTGATAGAATTAAACTGTTGAGTCATCTTACTCGTTTAGTACCCGAGAGACATCTTACTATAGATATTACGCTATCTGCATCTGTTGATGGGGTTCTCAGTACAGAGGTTACGCGAATGCTTAGACTTATCCGCAGACTAGGAGGACAAACGTTGCACGCTTAGATACTGATTCACCACTATATTTCTACACGTACATTGATACTTTACTAAAAACTCACACCCACAGAGCACTTTATCTCACAGTACACTCTAAATTCTTCAACCCGTAATCCCCTATCAGCGCGACATATTTCCCCTGCATGGGTACAACGGTACATTTTACAAACACCAGACCAGGAAAATGTCATACGAGAGGGTACATGATACATGTATACCCTTCAAAGAGAAAAGGGTAAAGCAAAAACAATGAATATAACCTCTTTGATTGTTGGAGTCTGTCTAATCCCGGTCAAATGTTCCGTGAAGTGTTTTTGACGTAAGGCATTTGACGTCTCGATTTGATGCATTTTTCCATGGACCTGCACGAAAAGTTTCTCCGAATGGAATATCTTCACTTTTGAGGTAATGTCTGAGTGTCTGGGTTTTGTGTCATGGATGTAATGGCCCGATAAGGAATCGGAACCCATCAAAGATAAGGCATTTTAGGCTGTTTACTTGAGGTGGGTAGAATTCTGTATCATTCATCCCTGCAGACCTAAAAGGTGGAGAGACGGACAGAAAGATAGATAGATAGATAGATAGATAGATAGATAGATAGATAGATAGATAGATAGTGATAACCCATAATCATTAATATGTACACTTACATATTCTTTTACATATATATATAAGGGCAGCTGGATAAGTTCCACCATTCAGACGTAACAACTTTCCACTATTAATTAGCTTACTTCAATACTTAAAGAAGTCAATCTTTTTTCCAAATTACACACATCAATTATGGCATCTGCTGTTGCTGCTTCTGTTGAAGTTGTTGAAAATGCTGCTACTGCTTCACACCACACCTTACCCTCTTCATGGTGGAAATCAGAAAAGATATTTGAAATAGAAAAAAGGGCTATTTTTAACCAATCTTGGATGTACTGTACCCATGCTTCTCGGTTCAAGAAGGCTGGGGACTACTATTCCTTCACTGTAGTTGGTATCAACTTCTTTATTATCAAGACCAAAGGTGAAGGTAACTTGAAGGCTTTCCACAATGTTTGTCGTCACAGAGCTTATCCTGTCATTAGAAAGGAGAAGGGCTCTTCAACTATTTTGGGTTGCAAGTATCACGGGTGGTCTTACAACACTGAAGGTAAGTTGAACAAAGCCCCTCAGTTTGACGATGTTGAAGGTTTCAAAAAGGAAGATAACTCTTTGTTCGAAATTAAAACTCACGTTACACCTGAAGGTTTGGTATTTGTGAACTTTTCTGCTGGTGAAGTTCCTTCTTTTGATGAATGGTTTGACGGATTGTCTGGGGAATTGAAGGAGTACGATTTCGAAGACTACGAATACCACATGTCTTATGAATTAGACGGTCAATTCAATTGGAAAACATTGATGGACGGCTACCAAGAATGCTACCATTGTCCAACCGCCCATCCTGGATTGAATGCTGCATTCAAGATGGAAACTTATAAGGTTGCACCAAGAACCAGATACTGTCGCCATTATGCTCAAATTGTCAAGGAAGACATTGAAATTGAAGCAGATGACAAGGATGCCGATGAAGAAAGCTCCTGGTTTGGATTTGGTAAGAAAAAGACGGCTGTTGAAAGTAAACCCGAAAAGAAGAAGAACCCAGGTGGAGATTTTGATGGGTTATGGGTCTACTTATACCCTAACAATGGTGTCAACTGTTATTCTGATTGTTGGTACTCTATAAGAGTATTACCTCAGAGTGCAACACGTACTATTTTACAATATGATATCTACACCAAGAAGGGTTTGGCAGAAGAAAAGAAGAAGGAATTTGTTGACTTTTTACAATTGGTTGAAATTGAAGATTTCAACTTGTGTCAACTTACTCAAAAGAATTTGAATCAAGGAATCTACTCAACTGGTGTTTTACACCCTACAAAGGAAAATGGAGTATTATTTTATCAAAAGGAAGTTGCTAAGATGGTCAAGGAACATTTTGCAAAGGAACAAGAGGCTGGTCACCTTATTAATCCAGCTTCTTTGGATACCGGAAGAACTAAAGAATCTGATGAATTGGAAGGAATCTGTAAATCTCTTGAATGTCAAGGTAACAACCCAGAGACTACCGGATTACAATGGTAATATGTGGGTTCAAGCAACCAATCAAAGTTTCTTCCTGCTCTGTGATTCCTATCTAATAATCATTTAATTCTTTGATATACGAAGTTCCAGAAAATTCCATTTATCTTATTCTTGTTCCTTTTCTTTTTTTTAGTATTATACTAGTTAATATTAAACCACTGATATTATTCAGATGTAGTTAGTTTTTAACTAGTACCTAATTGAACAAAGCAATGAAGCTTGAATCAATTCAGTCGTCACGTGACAATGAACTGCACTGTAAGCATCAAATTTCTGTACAAAACTAATCAATGATCATTATCATTAATATCATGAGTTGTTTTTTTTTGACGCAATCGGCACCTTACAAGAAATCAAAGTCTTTAGGTTCTGATGGTCGTGTTTCTACCAAATATATGCAAAATAGCAAATTGAGAAGCTTGTAATTAGTTTTGGATATTGAATAGTGAAGCAGATATAGAGAAGGTGAATAGAAGTAGTATACATTGGCAAGCAACATATGGATAGTAAA